CAATCAATTATTTTTATACGACTGCAAAAAAATTTTGTGGTTGTATATTGGTATGACGTTGGTGTCGTCGTCGTCTTCCGAAGACACATTGGTTTTCGCACTCTAACTTTAGTTTAAGTGAATGGATCTCTACGAAATTTTACAATAAGGTTCAATACCACAAAAGGAAGGTTGGGATCGATTTTGGGGGTTATGGTTCCAACAGTTAAGGAATTAGGGGCCAAAAACAAGCATTTTTGTAACTTCCAGACAAAACTTGTGTGTTTGTGTATGGATCTCTCTGACATTGTACCACAAGGTTCAATATTACAAAGGGAATGCTGGGATTGATTTTGGGGGTAATTGCCTCAAAATTTTATGAATTAGGGGCAAAAAAAAAGCATTTTTATACGACCGCAAAAATTTTGCAGTCCTATATTGGTATGACGTTGGCATCGTCTTCGTCGTCGTCCTAAGAGACATTAGTTTTCGCACTATAACTTTAGTTTAAGTGAATGGATCTCTATGAAATTTTACCATAAGGTTCAATACCACAAAAGGAAGGTTGGTATTGATTTTGGGGGTTATGGTACCAACAGTTAAGGAATTAGGGGCAAAAAATAAGCATTTTTGTAACTTCCAGACATTAACTTGTGTGTAAGTGTATGGATCTCTCTGACATTGTACCACAAGGTTCCATATCACAAAGGGAAGGCTGGAATTGATTTTTGGGGTAATTGCCTCAAAATTTTAGGATTTAGGGGCCAAAAAAGGGGCAAAAAACAAGCATTTTTCTAGTTTCATGACAATAACTTGTGTGTAAGTGTTTGGATATTTCTGAAATTGTACTACAAGGTTCCATATCACAAAGGGAAAGCTGGAATTTAGTTTGGGGGTAATTGCCCAAAACGTTTAGGAATTGGGGGCCAAAAATAAGCATTTTTCTAGTTTCAGGACAATAACTTGTGTGTAAGTGTATGGATCTTTCTGAAATTGTACTACAAGGTTCCATATCACAAAGGGTAGGCAGGAATTGTTTTTTGGGGTAATTGCCCTAAACGTTTAGGAATTTGGGGCCAAAAAGGGGCCAAAAAACACATTTTTAGCTCACCTGGCCAAGTGAGCTTTTCTCATCACTTGGCGTCCTGTGTCGTCCGGCGTTGTCGTTAACTTTTTACATTTTGAACTTCTTCTAGAGAACCACTGAATGGAATGAAACCAAACATGGCATGAATGTTCCTTATGAGGTGCTGACCAAGTGTTGTTACTTTGTAGCCGATCCATCATCCAAGATGGCCGCCAGCGGGGGACTTTGTTTAACATAGGACCCTATGGGAAATACATAAAAATGTCTTCTTTTAGAGAACCAATAAATGGAATGGAACCAAACATGGCATGAATGTTCCTTATGAGATGTTGACCAAGTGTTGTTACTTTGCAGTCGGTCCATCATCCAAGATGGCCGCCAGCGGGGGACTTAGTTTAACATAGGACCCTATGGGAAATACATACAAATGTCTTCTTTTAGAGAACCACTGAATGGAATGAAACAAAACATGGCATGAATGCTCCTTATAAGGTGCTGACCAAGTGTTGTAACTTTGCAGTCAGTCCATTATCCAGGATGGCCGACAGCGGGGGACTTAGTTTAACATAGGACCCTATGGGAAATACATACAAATGTCTTCTTTTAGAGAACCACTGAATGGAATGAAACCAAACATGGCATGAATGTTCCTAATGAGGTGCTGACCAAGTGTTGTTACTTTGCAGTCGGTCCATTATCCAAGACGGCCGACAGCGGGGGACTTAGTTTAACATAGGACCCAATGGGAAATACATACAAATGTCTTCTTTTAGAGAACCACTGAATGGAATGGAACCAAACATGGTTGCTACTTTTTTGCCGATTTACTGTTCAAGATGGCCACCAGGATATTTTATTAAATAACAGGACCAACATTAATCCAAATTTGGCCTCAATCATTATTTGGGTATCTGCTATGATTTTTATCTATCTTTACATGATTTCTAAAACCAAAGTAGAGTCAGGTGAGCGACACAGGCTCTTGAGAGCCTCTTGTGATTCTTTTTTTCCTTTTTATACGACCGCAAAAAAAATTTTGTGGTCGTATATTGGTATGACGTTGGCGTTGGCGTCGTCGTCGTCATCCGAAGACACATTAGTTTTCGCACTCTAACTTTAGTTTAAGTGAATGGATCTCTATGAAATTTTACCATAAGGTTCAATACCACAAAAGGAAGGTGGGGAATGATTTTGGGGGTTATGGTACCAACAGTTAAGGAAAAAGGGGCCAAAAATAAGCATTTTTGTAACTTCCAGACATAACTTGTTTGTAAGTGTATGGATCTCTCTGACATTGTACCACAAGGTTCCATATCACAAAGGGAATGCTGGGATTGATTTTGGGGGTTATTGCCTCAAAATTTTAGGAATAAGGGGCCAAAAAGGGGCAAAAAACAAGCATTTTTCTAGTTTCATGACAATAACTTGTGTGTGTAAGTGTATGGATCTCTCTGACATTGTATCACAAGGTTCCATATCACAAAGGGAATGCTGGGATTGATTTTGGGGGTAATTGCCTTCAAATTTTAGGAATTAGGGGCCAAAAAGGGGCAAAAAACAAGCATTTTTCTAGTTTCATGACAATAACTTGTGTGTAAGTGTATGGATCTTTATGAAATTGTACTGCAAGGTTCCATATCACAAAGGGAAAGCTGGAATTGAGTTTGGGGGTAATTGCCCAAAAAAGTTAAGGAATAAGGGGCCAAAAATAAGCATTTTTCTAGTTTCCAGACAATAACTTGTATTCAGGTGTATGGATCTCTCTGAAATTGTACTGCAAGGTACCATACCACAAAGGGAAGGCTGGGATTGAGTTTGGGGTGATGAATCATAAGGGGGTTCAAAAAATTGGGGGGGGGGATTTTTTTTTCCTTTTTTTTCTTTAAAATTTTCCCTTTTAAATTGGTTATTTCTGATTTATATATAAAAGCAAATAATAATGATATGGTTTGAATAGGTAAATTAAAAAATTTTAAGTTCTTAGACCACTTTCATTCTGTGTCAGAAACCTATGCTGTGTCAAATATTTAATTACAATCCAAATTCAGTGCTGTATCAAGCTTGAATGTTGTGTCCATACTTGCCCCAACTGTTCAGGGTTCGACCTCTGCGGTCGTATCAAGCTGCGCCCCAGCGGAGCATTTTATTTTTTTCTTTTAAAATTTTCCATTTTAAGTTGGTTATTTCTGATTTATATTTAAAAGCAAATAATAATGATATGGTAGGAGATACACACCAAACAGGATGTGTAAATTATTATATAATAAGTATTGTTAAATAGCAAGAAATTTTCAATTGCACAATATTGCACAATAGCAAGAAATCTTCAATTGCACAGTATTGCGCAATAGCAAGAAATCTTTAATTGCACAGTATTGCGCAATAGCAAGAAATATCCAATAGCACAATATTGCGCAATAGCAAGAAATTGTCAATTGTACAGTATTGCGCAATAGCAAGAAATATTCAATTGCACAGTATTGTGCAAAAGAAGATACTTCGTATAAATTGCTTATTTCTTGACCAATTTCAATGGGGTTTTATTCTTGAATTCTTGGGGTTCTTTAATATGTTGAATCTAACCGTGTATTAAGTTTTTGGATTTTGGGCCCCGTTTTTAAATTGGTCCACATTGAGGTCCAAAGGGTCCAAAATTAAACTTTGTTTGATTTCATCAATAATTGAATTATTGGGGTTCTTTGATATGCTGAATCTAACCGTGTATTTAGATTCTTAATTTTTGGTTCCGTTTTCAAATTCGTCTACATTAAGGTCCAAAGGGTCCAAAATTAAACTTAGTTTGATTTTAACAAAAATTGAATTCTTGGGGTTCTTTGATATGCTGAATCTAACCATGTATTTAGATTTTGGATATTGGACCATAATAGGTGAATGTCCAATTTAAAATGTTTGAGTTCTAAGACCCCATTCATTCTGTGTCAGAAACCTATGCTGTGTCAAATATTCAATCACAATCCAAATTCAGAGCTATATCAAGCTTGAATGTTGTGTCCATACTTGCCCAAACTGTTCAGGGTTCGACCTCTGCGGTCGTATCAAGCTGCGCCCTGCGGAGCATTTTATTCTAGTTTCATGACAATAACTTGTGTGTTAGTCTATGGATCTTTCTGAAATTGTACTACAAGGTTCCATATCACAAAGGGAAAGCTGGAATTGAGTTTGTGGTAATTGCCCAAAACGTTTAGGAATAAGGGGCAAAAAATAAGCACTTTTCTAGTTTCCAGACAATAACTTGTGTTCAAGTGTATGGATCTCTCTGAAATTGTACTGCAAGGTACCATACCACAAAGGGAAGGCTGGGATTGATTTAAGGGGTAATTGCCTCAAAATTTTAGGAATTAGGGTCCAAAAAGGGGCAAAAAACAGCATTTTTCTAGTTTCAGGACAATAACTTGTGTGAAAGTGTATGGATCTTTATGAAATTGTGCTACAAGGTTCCATATCACAAAGGGAAAGCTGGGTTTGAGTTTGGGGGTAATTGCCCTAAATGTTTAGGAATTTGGGGCCAAAAAGGGTCCAAAAAACAAGCATTTTTCTAGTTTCCAGACAATAACTTGTGTTCAAGTGTATGTATCTCTCTGAAATTGTACTGCAAGGTACCATACCACAAAGGGAAGGCTGGGATTGAGTTTGGGGGTGATGAATAATTAGGGGGTTTAAAAAAATTTTGGGGGATGGGATTTTTTTTCTTTAAAATTTACCATTTTAAATTGGTTATTTCTGATTTATATATAAGAGCAAATAAAAATGATATGGTTTGAATAGGTAAATTAAATTTTTTTAAGTTCTTAGACCACATTCATTTTGTGTCAGAAACCTTTGCTGTGTCAAATATTTAATCACAATCCAAATTCAGTGCTGTATCAAGCTTGAATGTTGTGTCCATACTTGTCCCAACTGTTCAGGGTTCGACCTCTGCGGTCGTATCAAGCTACGCCCAGTGGAGCATTTTATTAAAAGAGTTATGCCCCTTGGAAACATTAATTTTATGGAAAATTGCATTGTTAGCGCTCTCATGTAATCAATTCTTGCCAGATTTTTATGAAACTGATATCATAGGTTTATATCAGCAATGTCTTGGACAAGTTTGAAAATCAGTGCCAATCTTTTATTTTTTAAAGAGTTATGCCTCTTTGAAAAATAAATTATATGGAGAATTGCATGGTTAGTGCTCTCATATGTACAATTCTTGCCAGAATTTTATGAAACTTGAATCATAGGTTTATATTAGAAATGTCTTGGAAGAATTTGAAAATCAGTGACGATCAATAATTTGCCCCTTGGAAATATTAATTATATGGAAAATTGCCTTATAAGCGCTCTAATGTGTACAATTCTTGCCAGATTTTTATGAAATCTATATTATGGATTATATCATCTATGTACTTGAAGAGTGCCAATCAATTATTTTTAAAAGAGTTATGCCCCTTGAAAATATTGATTATATGGAAAATTGCAATGTTATCGCTCCCATGTGTTCAATTCTTGCCAGAATTTTATGAAACTTATATCATAGGTTTATATCAGCAATGTCTTTGACACTTTCGAAAATAAGTTCTGATCAAATTTTTTTGGGGTTATGCCCCTTAGAAATATAAATCATAATGGAAATCACATTGCATTTGCTCTGAAGCCTTCATTTCTTTTTAAGATATTGATAAAAAGTTTTAAAGAACAAAAAAATGTGTTTAATTTAGTTATTGCCCTTGTACCTTGGTTAGCTAAAATATGTGCAATGCGGGAGACATTGGAACTTTGTTCTTTTATTAAGTATAAATGTAGTAAAAAAATTCAGTGCATTCAGCATTCATTGTAAAAAAAATTTTAACTCTAGTTTTGATCCATCTATCAAAAAATATTTATAACAAAAATTATCTACCAATCAGAAGAGCACAGGACTTAGTGTTATACAGAAAGCTCTCCCCCAAATGGGAGGTCCCTGATGACGTATATTTATTTACTGAATTTACCCCTATACATCCTTGGTTTTTTAAATATTCTGTTTTGATCGTTCCCGATGAAGGTAATTCCAGAAAAGTGCTTTGGGCACATGAAATGTATAAAGTTTTGTTTTCGTTTTTTACAGCACTGGGTCTGTACCGCTGCTGGTGAACTATCAGTCCCAGAGGGTATCATCAGCTCAGTAGTCTGTACTGACACAATTTATAACAACCTTTCTTATATTTTCCATTCAAAAATTTAGAAATTATTAAGGTTTCAACTCCTTCAAACAAAGTTGACCTTAGATGGATTTGGCTATTATTTTTAGGTTCTTTCTGGTCATATAGCGCTTCAACTGTTTATGTTCTTATACAACCTTTGGTTTCAAATTCGTTCTTTGAGCATTCTTGTTTATACAAAAATTAAATTCTTGGGGTTCTTTGATATGCTGAATCTAACCATGTATTTAGATTTTGGATATTGGACCATAATAGGTAAATGTCCAATTTCAATTTTTTAAGTTCTTAGACCACAGTCATTCTGCGTCAGAAACCTATGTTGTGTCAAATATTTAATCACAATCCAAATTCAGAGCTGTATCAAGCTTGAATTTTGTGTCCATACTTGCCCCAATTGTTCAGGGTTCGACCCTGGGATCGTTACAATATGATCAAGCTGCGGAGCATTTTATTAGTGTTTATTGAACTTTCCAAAACTTGCTCTGGCAACCAATCAGACCATAGTTTTAAGAAATATAAAGGCATATAACTGTATCAAACTGTGCTAACATTTGTCTTTCCAGATACAGCTTTGAAGTATGGATTGAAATGATGCAATGTGTAAAAAATTGTAACTCTTATTTAGAATATTCACTTCTACATTTGCTACCGTTGTATTGATTGAATGGGGCACTATTTTTGCAAAATATAAATCTGACTGCTAATAGAAATTACACCTATTACATTTTCTGAAACGACATGACCAATATAAACAAAAAAATTAAAGGTATCATTTTTAAGTGACATTACGAAATACTTGATACACACGTACTGACAGAAAGCATATAGCAGCAGGGCTAATTTTACTATGTATTTGTTTCCTTCACAGGGTTAAAATTAAAAAAATTGTAATATCCTACTGGCAATTGATTCATATGCTTAAAATATTTTTTACCAATATTTCATATTTTCAAAAATTAGAAATTCTATTTAGCGCTACATATTGCTGTTTAAGGCATTTTGATACAAAATTGCAAACTAAACATGTTTTTGTCAAATTTTGCTGTTAAGCACATTGCTAACCTTTAAAGTACACACATTGGGCTGTGATACTGAGAATTAATGTAAAAATTGAAAGACATTTTGATATAAATACATTTTGCTTTTTTGTCTACTATCTTTCAAGAGAGGCGAAGGATACCAAAGGGACATTCAAACTCATAAGTCGAAAATAAACGGACAACGCTTAAAAAGAAAAAGACAAACAGAGGAACAACAGTACACAAAACACAACATTGAAAACCAAAGACTGAGCAACACGAACCCCACCAAAAACTGGGGGTTATCTCAGGTGCTTCGGAAGGGTAAGCAGATCCTGCTCCACATGTAGCACCTGTCGTGTTGCTCATGTTAGTACAAACCCGGTGATAAGTCTAATTCGGTAGGTCACATTCGGAAGAAAGGAGATGGGATTGTAGTTACGACAATTGGAACATATCCGTTGTCATTTGTGAAACGGATATTCCATAACGGTCAACCAACTTGTGATGGCCTCCGTAAAATTTACGAAGGGAAGATTTCAACTTCACCACTTGGAAATCTTGGTTTAATAGCTTCCTTGTGAGCAGCAACCCTCTATCAAGGAAATCATAATAGGAAATACAGGCCCTAGAATATCGTATCAATTAGGAGATATATACTATGTATGCAGGCGCTGGTGGAATGTTGCTACATAGAAATGGAAAGTTCACAATTGGGAAGCTGAAATCATCTCTTTTGTCATAAACTTTTGTTTTCAACTGACCGTCATTGTCAATTTCTAGATGTAAGTCAAGATATGAGGCAAACTTACTTGTATCTGTTGTATCCTTCAAAGTATAATAGATAGACAGAAACTTTGAATAGCAAATATGATCAGCAAGACATGATCTACAAATAAGTCAAATTATGTCAAACCACTCCTTCTTGGAGTTATTGCCCTTTAACGACACAGCAGAGGGGGCATTAAGTGTTACCCTTGTCCGTCTGTAAGTCCGCACATCCGTCCCTACGTATGTCCAAAATTGGTTTCCGTTCTCTTACTTTAGTTTGCCTCAGCCAAATGTTATGAAACGTATACACAATGCTTATTACCACAAAACACAGATCAAAATTGATTTGGGTAGCGTCACTTTTACAGTTTTTGAGTAATATCCCTTTATAACGTTAAATGCAAGCGGGGGCATCATCTGTATCCCATGGACACATTCTCCATTTATTTTCCAATTTTTTGCAGTTTTGAACTATATCTTAAAAACTATAAAAGATAGATAGAAACTTAAAAATGCAAAAATGATCAGCAAGACAAGATCTAGAAATAGATTAAACATTCTAATTTGAGTTATTTCCCTTTAATGAAGATTTTTACCATTTTTTTGCATTTTGCCTATTATCTTGAAAACTATAATAGATAAAAAGACACTTTGAATCAGCAAGGCAAGATCTACAAATTGGTCAAATGTCTGAAATCGTCAGTCATCTTCTTTTTAGAGTTCTTACTCTATAATGACGATTTTTACCAATAAATTTGGCCAACCGTGCGAGACCCTCATGGGTAGTCAAGGTCTTTAAACCCCCCCCTAGTAGTACCAATCATTTTGGGTTTTTGCCTATTATCTTGAAAACTATAAAAGATAGATAGACACTTTGAATACTTGTATCAACACATGGAACGTAAGCGGCCCGGTCAAAGGTCATAGGGGAAAAACCGCTTACATCATTGAGCACGTAATAATAAACATTGATCGCCAGAATCACTACTCGAGTTGAAAATGTCTTAAATCATGCAAATTATACCATTTTAAATAGTTATATAATCCATTAGGTTAGTAAAAATACAAAAACTTAGCCAGTGTGTATCCTTTCAGAGGTGCAAAACCATACTTTGTCGTACACAAGCCGTGACAAGGTCCTTTTAGCTGTTTAGGTCACGGTCTTCTGCATTACCTAACTGAAATATTTTAACTTTTGTGACTTATTTCCGTGTTTATAACACTAGACTCAGGAATGGTTTGCTTATGAATTATTCCATTTTATTGCATACATGTATATAGGGATCCCTATAATTGTTTAAAGGGTCCACCAGCTAGGTTACTTACTTGTAAAATGTACTGTTCCAAACAGTCAAGATCTGTCAAAATTAAACTTACAAACATGCTGATTTTTACCACCTTACAAATATACTTGATATTTCTTTTTTTTTTAAATAAAACAAGTTTCTGCTGTAACTGCAACAGGCACATGTGGGGTACACCCCCTTTTATTAAATTTCTGTGGTTTTTTTATACGACCGCAAAAATTGAAAATTTTTTGGTCGTATATTGGTATGACGTTGGCGTCGTCGTCGTCGTCGTCGTCGTCGTCGTCGTCGTCGTCGTCGTCGTCGTCGTCTGGCGTCGTCCGGCGTCGTCCGAAGACACATTGGTTTTCGCACTCTAACTTTAGTTTAAGTGAATGGATCTCCATGAAATTTTACCATAAGGTTCAATACCACGAAAGGAAGGTGGGGATTGATTTTGGGGGTTATGGTACCAACAGTTAAGGAATTAGGGGCCAAAAAGGGGCCAAAAATAAGCATTTTTGTAACTTCCAGACAATAACTTGTGTGTAAGTGTATGGATCTCTCTGACATTGTACCACAAGGTTCCATATCACAAAGGGAAGGCTGTAATTGATTTTGGGGGTAATTGCCTCAAAATTTTAGGAATTAGGGGCCAAAAAAGGGGCAAAAATCAAGCATTTTTCTAGTTTCATGACAATAACTTGTGTGTAAGTGTTTGGATATTTCTGAAATTGTACTACAAGGTTCCATATCACAAAGGGAAAGCTGGAATTGAGTTTGGGGGTAATTGCCCGAAACGTTTAGGAATTGGGGGCCAAAAAGGGGCCAAAAATAAGCATTTTTCTAGTTTCCAGACAATAACTTGTGTTCAAGTGTATGGATCTCTCTGAAATTGTACTGCAAGGTACCATACCACAAAGGGAAGGCTGGGATTGAGTTTGGGGGTGATGAATCATAAGGGGGTTCAAAAAATTTTTGGGGGGGGGGGATTTTTTTTTTTCTTTTTTTTTCTTTTTTTCCTTTTTTTTTTCTTTTAAAATTTTCCATTTTAAGTTGGTTATTTCTGATTAATATTTAAAAGCAAATAATAATGATATGGTAGGAGATACACACCAAACAGGATGTGTAAATTATTATATAATAAGTATTGTGCAATAGCAAGAAATTTTCAATTGCACAGTATTGCACAATAGCAAGAAATCTTCAATTGCACAGTATTGCGCAATAGCAAGAAATCTTCAATTGCACAGTATTGCGCAATAGCAAGAAATATCCAATAGCACAATATTGCGCAATAGCAAGAAATTGTCAATTGTACAGTATTGCACAATAGCAAGAAATATTCAATTGCACAGTATTGTGCAAAAGAAGATACTTCGTATGAATTGCTTATTTCTTGATCAATTTCAATGGGGTTTTATTCTTGAATTCTTGGGGTTCTTTAATATGCTGAATCTAACCGTGTATTTAGTTTTTGGATTTTGGGCCCCGTTTTTAAATTGGTCCACATTGAGGTCTAAAGGGTCCAAAATTTAACTTTGTTTGATTTCATCAAAAATTGAATTATTGGGGTTCTTTGATATGCCGAATCTAACCGTGTATTTAGATTCTTAATTTTTGGTTCCGTTTTCAAATTGGTCTACATTAAGGTCAAAAGGGTCCAAAATTAAACTTAGTTTGATTTTAACAAAAATTGAATTTTTAGGGTACTTTGATATGCTGAATCTAAACATGTATTTAGATTTTTGATTATGGGCCCAGTTTTCAAGTTGGTCCAAATCGGGGTCCAAAATTAAACTTTGTTTGATTTCAACAAAAATTGAATATATGGGGTTCTTTGATATGCTGAATCTAACCATGTATTTAGATTTTTGATTTTTGGGCCCCGTTATCAACTTTGTCCACATTGAGGTCAAAAGGGTCCAAAATTAAACTTTGTTTGATTTCATCAAAAATTGAATTCTTGGGGTTCTTTGATATGCTGAATCTAACCATGTATTTAGATTTTTTATTTGTGGACCCGCTATCAAATTGGTTCATATTGAGGTCAAAAGGGTCCAAAATTAAACTTTGTTTGATTTCATCAAAAATTGAATTATTGGGGTTCTTTGATATGCCAAATCTAACCGTGTATTTAGATTTTTAATTTTGGGTCCCGTTTTTAAATTGGTCTACATTAAGGTCCAAAGGGTCCAAAATTAAACTTAGTTTGATTTTAACAAAAATTGAATTCTTGGGGTTCTTTGATATGCTGAATCTAAACATGTGTTTAGATTTTTGATTATGGGCCCAGTTTTCAAGTTTGTCCAAGTTGGGGTCCAAAATTAAACTTTGTTTGATTTCAACAAAAATTGAATATATGGGGTTCTTTGATATTCTGAATCTAAACATGTATTTAGATTTTAGATTTTTGGCCCAGTTTTCAAGTTGGTCCAAATTGGGGTCCAAAATTAAACTTTGTTTGATTTCAACAAAAATTGAATATATGGGGTTCTTTGATATGCTGAATCTTACCATGTATTTAGATTTTTTATTTGTGGGCCCGCTATCAAATTGGTTCATATTGAGGTTTAAAGGGTCCAAAATTAAACTTTGTTTGATTTCATCAAAAATTTAATTATTGTGGTTCTTTGATATGCCAAATCTAACTGTGTATTTAGATTTTTAATTTTGGGTCCCGTTTTTTAAATTGGTCTACATTAAGGTCCAAAGGGTCCAAAATTAAACTTAGTTTGATTTTAACAAAAATTGAATTTTTGGGGTTCTTTGATATGCTGAATCTAAACATGTGTTTAGATTTTTGATTATGGGACCAGTTTTCAAGTTTGTCCAAGTTGGGGTCCAAAATTAAACTTTGTTTGATTTCAACAAAAATTGAATATATGGGGTTCTTTGATATGCTGAATCTAAACATGTATTTAGATTTTAGATTTTTGGCCCAGTTTTCAAGTTGGTCCAAATTGGGGTCCAAAATTAAACTTTGTTTGATTTCAACAAAAATTGAATATATGGGGTTCTTTGATATGCTGAATCTTACCATGTACTTAGATTTTTTATTTTGTGGGCCTGCTATCAAATTGGTTCATATTGAGGTCAAAAGGGTCCAAAATTAAACTTTGTTTGATTTCATCAAAAATTGAATTATTGGGGTTCTTTGATATGCCAAGTCTAACCGTGTTTTTAGATTTTTAATTTTGGGTCCCGTTTTTTAAATTGGTCTACATTAAGGTCCAAAGGGTCCAAAATTAAACTTAGTTTGATTTTAACAAAAATTGAATTCTTTGGATACTTTGATATGCTGAATCTAAACATGAGTTTAGATTTTTGATTATGGGACCAGTTTTCAAGTTTGTCCAAGTTGGGATCCAAAATTAAACTTTGTTTGATTTCAAAAAAAATTGAATATATGGGGTTCTTTGATATGCTGAATCTAACCATGTATTTTGATTTTGGACATTGGACCATAATAGGTAAATTAAAAAAATTGAAGTTCTTAGACCACATTCTTTCTGTGTCAGAAACCTATGCTGTGTCAAATATTTAATCACAATCCAAATTCGGAGCTGTATCAAGCTTGAATGTTGTGTCCATACTTGCCCCAACTGTTCAGGGTTCGACCTCTGCGGTCGTATCAAGCTGCGCCCAGCGAAGCATTTTATTATGAATTATTATGGCTTAAAATGTTTAATTTTTACTATGTTTATACCATGCTTATTTGTGGCTACTGTGCATGCCTCGTCTTGTTTCAAGTCAAATTACCAACTCTGATACAACCCCTTATTTTACTTTCCATACTAAACATTGCTAAATTAAAAATATTGAATATTTTAAGTAATAATAAAAATTAAACCCCCAAAACATCAAGCAGGGTCTACTTCACAAGGCTCCTGTGAATACTACAAGAGACTGTACACAAGCATATAAAACCTTGATCATGTGAACTGATATTTTTGCATGGTTATTGGTTGTTCTTTGCCAAGTTTAAAGTTTACATGATCAAAGTCTTTATTGTAACAGTGTACATGGTGTAATTGTGGGGCAACAGCAAGGTTAGTAATAAGATCAGATATTTTATTCCAATAAAAATGCCCATGAAAAGCAAAATAAATTATAACAAAGATTTTAATAATTGACACAATAATTTTAATAATCATATATAAATATGAACATGATGAATATAATCATAAGATCAAACCACACTCAAACCATGGTCAACGCCATAAGCATGTAAATAAAAAAGCAGTAACCCAACAACATGCAGAGTTGCATTTTTTCATCTTTGGTCTACACACCCACAGTGTATTTTGATTCATATTCTGGTATTTCAATTGCAGATTTCTAGTGAAATAATGGGTATAGTAATCTTTGTTGGTTATCTGTTTACAATGTTTGGTTAAATTATCGAAAATGTATAAAGTTTCAAGGAGAAGTTGTTCAGTTATATCCTGCTCTAACAGTTGGTACAAAATAGAAAAATGGATGCAAGAACAATGTGAAATACATAAATGTAACAAGGGAACTGGATCATGTGACTGTTCACCTCCATTTCAACTTATACCTTTTCCCACTGAGAGAAAAGATCCTGCTGGTCGCAAAAAATGGACAACAATTGTAAATCGAAAACATGGAAACAATAATTGGCAACCTAATTCTGAATCTTGAATTTGCTCCAAACATTTTGTAGATTGTGAACCAACTCTTAGTAACCCGTTACCAACACTTGACTTGGGTTACACACCAATACAAGTAACAAAATTTAGGCCCCCTCCACGTGAAAGACATGACAGTCCCCCTCCTAAGAAAACAAAGCGAAAACTTGAGAATGACCTTTCAGTTGAGGATTTGAACAAACACATAACTTCTGATCATGACTACATGTATATACAAGACAAACTGTAACCGTGAAGTAATTTTATTAAGGGACCAGGTACAGAAACTGCAAAAAGAAGTCAATATGTATAAATCTGCTTACATAAGATCTGTCAATACTAAACGCAAAACAACATTTGACATAAATGTTATATTACAAAGTGACAAAAAATGCAAATTCTATACAGGCATACCAAAGGTTGAAACTTTCAATGACTTTTTCATTGAATTGGAACAAAAAGTGAGGCAAATGAGACATTGGAAAGGTCCAAAAAGGACATGCAATCCACTTAAAAACAAGAAATATACAAGATCAAATTCAAACAGAAAATTATCACTTAAATTTGAATTTGCATTGACCCTTATGAAATTAAGGTTAGGCCTGTTGTTTGAAGATCTTGCTGACCGATTTGGAATTTCTACCACCCATGCTTCAAACATATTTACAACATGGATAAAAGTTTTGTCCAGTACAATAGGATCTTTGGTGTTTAACCCATCAAAAGAGGCAGTTAAAACAAATTTACCACCTTCTTTCAAAGGAACAAAATACATTGATGTCCGTCACATCATTGACTGCACCGAAGTATTTTTAGAGAGACCCAATAATTTAGAGGTTGCAGCTCAGACATGGAGTGATTATAAACATCATAACACAGCTAAATTCTTAGTGAGCATAAATCCTTCTGGCTTAATTAATTATGTTTCAGAGGGTTTTGGTGGTAGATGCAGTGATAAATATATTACTAACAATTCTGGTTTTTTAGACATTCTTGAACCATATGACTGTGTAATGGCTGATCGTGGCTTCACCATAAGGGAAGAATTAGCTTTGGTAAGAGCACAACTGTTTATTCCACCAGGTCGTAGAGGTGTTACACAAATGTCAACAAATGAAGTCCAACAAACAAAAGAAATTGCTAATCGCAGAATTCATATTGAGCAAGCTATACGAAGAATGAAATACTTTAGAATACTGAAGTATGAAGTGCCGCTTACTCTCATGCAACATTTGGATAGTATTTTTAAAACAATTGCAGGAATATGCAACATGTACCCCCCTCTTCCAAAGTATGAGACATAATTTTGATTGTGATCCAAAAATTGTGAAAAATAATCACAATTAAGGTTTTGTTGTTAGTTTTCATTTGTTTCACATTTTTCATGTCATTGTCTTTTACCACTGACTAAAGGGTATGGGGTTTACTCATCATTGAAGGCCACACAGTTGCCTATTACTACTAATATATTCACTTCATTTGAACTCTGGTGGAACGTTGTCTCATTTGCAATCTATTGGAGCTAAACAATACCACATCTCCTTATTTTTATAAAGTATAGCATAATTTATATATGAAAATTAAATCTTTTCTACAGGTACATATTCAGGTAAAATTATTTGATAATGCATATATAGTAACTGCATTCTTCTAAAAATTAAAGTTTCAATTATTTGTACATGTACATCATGCATTCTGTATGACAAATTATATTTAATTACTTTGAGTGCATTTTTTGCAAACCCACTGCTGTAACTTTGATGCTACCTTTTTTGTTACATTTACACATCTGAAATGATACCACAAGTCACAAATATCACAGCAAATACTATGATCAATAAAATTTTCAACATTTTCAGAGTTTTTCACAATGTGATTACATGATGGACAAAAATATGTTGTTTCAAACTCCATTTGGTCCTCTATAGGACTGCTGTTGTTCCTGGTACACACCTCCTGTAGATTTGAAGCAGTTTGCATTTTAAGTTCACCAGAAAATAGTTCAGGAACAAAATATCTTTCAAAAAATAATTTTAAACTATCAACAATTTCCTCATAATAAGGTTTGTCAAAAACAATTCTCTGACAAAATGTTCCATTACATGTATATATAAAAAAGTCACAATATTTCCTTCCAGTTATTGCTAACTGGCCTTGAATTTGGCCATAATATTTGTGTTTTTTTTTTAAACTGTACTTAGTTCCATCAACATACAAATAGTCTGGAATAGAACAACTGCAAAATGTTGTACATTTGCCACATTTTGGAACAAGAGGACATTTAATTTCAACAACACCTGAGCCACAACAATCACAATCAACGAGTAAATCAGGGCTAGCCCCAAGATAAGTCATGTCATTATCAAGAAATATTCCACATTCTGTAATAATAACATCTGTGTGGCCTGCTTTCTTCATACCCACAAGGTAACACGATTTGGCTTCTGGTTCCATTTCTCGCCCATGCTTAAGAGACCTTATGTTAGGATTTAACTTTTTGTATCCCATGAGTCGTGAAATTAATGGATCAAAAGTAACACCCTCTTTTTTCTTATAACTCTGCACTTTTGTATGTATTTCGTAGAAATTCGATGATGTCAGACGACCCGATCTTATTTCATGCCATTTTTCATTGCTGCACTGACCAACCGTAGAACGCATTACTTTTTGAATTTCACTCTGAGTATACTTTGGCATGTTGCTTAAAAAGTCAGTTTGGTTGTTACATTTTGTTTTAATGTCTTGTATTGTGTAGGCTGTGATGTCTTCACTAACTGGTTTGGTTACTGTTTCTTCTACACTTTCTGTGACAAAACCTGAAAGAATATTTTAAACAACATATTTAAGTGCATTGATTTTGACTTGGGGAATGGCTTTTTTTGTGGGGAGGGTTTTGAAATTTCCTCATTTTTAATAAGAATTTTAGGCTGTGTCTTGAACAAATTGTTTTCAAAGACATATCCTTTTTAGAGTTTTGTAGAGATTGGAACCAATAACAACAAAAAAAGCCCCAAACTAAACAAATCATAACATCTGAGATTAGAACTAAAGGTATATTCATCATTTTAGATTTTCAAGAAAAACAATGAGAAAAGTTTTAAAACTAGTTAATATGTTGTGACTTGATTTTCAACTGTTCTTGTTAAAAAAAAATATTTGTAGTCCAAGTTATTCATCTCAAATGACTTATTCTTGTAAATTTAGATTTATCACGAGATCAAATTTTATCATGTTATTATAAACTGCATTCATACGACATAAACAAACAAATAAAAAAACTAGCAAAAAAGCTCTATGAGAAAATTAAAACAATAAAACAATAAAAACTTAAAACAATTGAGGTTCTTCAAGTTTATTTTATTATTATAACATTGTATTTATATGTACCTTTGAAAATACAAGCATTTGGGATAGACTTCTTGAGTACTGCTGAAAAAGTGTCCAGGTTGTCTCTACTTTCAGGTATGGGCTGGTACTGCAACTTGGACTGGCAAACTAAAGGTCTTTTACTATCTAAAATAAAACCGAAAGAATTAATGACTTATCCCCCTTTGATCAATGAACATGAATATAGACTACTCTTGTGATCATATTTTGTTGTTGTTTCACATACTGGAATAATGTATAAAAAGAATATCTAGTGTATCAAAACACAAACTCGTGACATATATTTCCTACTTGTTGATGTTATCATTAATGTGATAGACTTATTAATTTACATGTTAATTTCTGTGTCATTTGGTCTCTTGTGGAGAGTTGTCTGATTGACAATCTTACCACATCTTATTTTTATAATATATCTCATTATTTGCTTTGTTAGTTCGAGTCTAGTTTCCATGCTAAAATCCATGACAAGGATTGGTACAGCAGTATGGAAATAAAAACATATATAGTGTGGCTAATAAAATATCAAAAATTATAAATGGTATGTATGTCAGTGGCGGATCCAAGGGGGGGCGGGGGGGGGGGGGGGGGGGGGGGGGGGAACCCCCTTTTTTTGAACAACCAATGCATTTGAATGGGGACATATAGTTGGAACCCCCCCCTTTATCCTGGGATAGGTACACCCCCCCCCCCCCTTCCCCTCCCCTTTTATAAATGGCTGGATCCGCCCCTGTATGTAATGACTTTTTGATACTAAATTCTATTTAAAATCATCTAAAATGTACCCCCTTCCCCTCCCCTTTTATAAATGGCTGGATCCGCCCCTGTATGTAATGACTTTTTGATACTAAATTCTATTTAAAATCATCTAAAATGTACACAACCTTTGAAATAATTGATCAGATGTACATGAATAGTAGTTATTACAAAAATTGTAGCCAAATTATATAGAATTTTTCTCGTGCTTGGTAATAAAAAAACATACCTGATTGTCCATGTCTTGACTTGAAGATTCTCAAATCTTTAATTTTAGTTGGCTTCACTCCCTTTATTCTTGACGGTACTTTCCATGTGCAGGGGAGGGAAGTACATGCAGATGCACCTAGTTTGTTTGCAGCCTCAACTCGGAAAAGGAGTCCAGCGACATGATTACATGTTCTTCCCAAACTGAAAAAAAATACAACTAATAAATGATCTTGTTCAATACCCAGTAAATCTACAGCAAATGATGCAAGTCGATCAGCAAGAAAACTTATATTGACAAAACAGTTATTAGTTTTAAATTAATAAAGAACTGCAAGATAAATGTGCAAACATAGAAATAAACATGTCAACCAACAGTTAGCATGGTTAGTTTTATACCATGTAGGTTTTTACAGCCGTGACAATGGATATGATTAGCAAGGAACATTTTACAAGAAAGATAAAAAATGATATACCATTTCATGAACATGTGAATTTGAGGTTTTCTAATTAAACATTTCCCATAACAAACATGACAAAGGTTGGGGACAATCCAAAATGGGATATAAATTTACTGTACTTCAAATCTTGCTTTTCTTTAAAAAAAAAATTAATTTAACAATCATTTTTTTAAAACATTTCCCCTAATTTGTTTTGGCACATTAATTTTTCATACATTTATGTTTCAATTGAGGTATTATATCTCGAATGGGATAGTTTAACCCATTTTGGAGATTGGTCCCAATCTTTTACAGCTTATTAATTGCTATTACATTAAAATGGAAGGCTTTACAGTACATTGCAAATCTATGAGGTTATGGATGGGGATCTTTCATTTCTGTATTCTTAATTTTACATTTGTCTTCATCTTTAAAAGAATGGCTATTCTGTAATTACATTTATTACTTGATGACTGTATTTTGGACTTGTTTTTTTCTATAATTATTATATGTTTGCCCATTTCTTTTATTTTTGTAGTTATTTTTTATATATTTAACATCCCATTATTCTGAGATTTTTCTGCTCTTAATTACTTTGCACATTTTTCACTATTCTTATTTTTTCTCCATTATTATGTATTATGTTAAACCCATCCACACCCTCATCTATGCATATAATTCAAGGAACTTTACTATACATTTTATATTAAATAACATGAAGTCTTACCCTGCTGTGCATGTGCAGTATGAGGATCCAATTTCTCCTGTTGCTTTCTCAACACACACCCAGACATCATGTTCTTCTTCTTTTATTTTTTGTGAAGGCACACATTTTGCTCTTAGAAAACAGTTCTTGGATCTTGCATCAATGTCATGATAGAATATTTGTTGCAAGAATCCATTTTTAAAATATTCATAAGCCTTGCCAATTTTATAGTCTTGGAGAATCTCCTTCATTTTACCAGATGTATTTTTTTCGCTTAAGTACTTTACAATGTCAGATATGTAGACTGGTGGAAATTTTTTCATACCATTTTTCTCATCTAACCAGTTATTATGAATCTGTAGTGGATCTGGTAAAGCTTGGCCGTTTATTTTTAGCAAGTTCTGATAGTCTAGTTTATTGGTTTTGATAATTTCAAAAGAAGTTGGAATGACTGCAATTTTTAAAACAGACGCCGAATAGCAAAGAGCCGCCAATTCACTTTTTGTACCATCTTTCGTCATACCTCTCTTTGTCAAGAAGTCGCGCAAAGCACTTACTTTCCAGGTTAAAAAATCATCTAATGAAGTGTTTTGGTCAGTAGTATCCATTATAAAAGGTAATATCGTATCAAATGTCAAATATATAAAAGGTAAAGTATATAAAAATCGTGTAAAAATGTATCAAATTAAGTTCAGAACTTCACATCTTTCTTTCAACGTTATCACGGCGGCCATATTGTTTACAATGGATACGGAAGTTTTCCCCTATGACCTTTTGACCCGCACCGCCATATTGAGTTTTTTGTATGAAAGTTATGGGGATAAATGAATGTTGAATGTGTAAAGAAATAACAAAAATTTCTAAATATTTTAGCAGAAGTGTTAGAGATGTCTTTTCGATGATAAATATTGGGCTGCTATGCAAATTTTTTTTAAATTGAAAAGCAAATATTGATAATAGCATTCTTTTCCTAAATTACAATAAAGATTTTTTACATAAATAACAAAAAATCTGCTTTAGTGAAGAGTATATATTATTTTTATCTTTTAGGCTAATGGCAAGTACAGACAGAAAGGACGTGATTATATTGTAGAAGATGGGGACATTATTTTGTTTAAATTTAATGCTGGAGCAGGATTAAAGGACAAAAAGAAATAATTTTATTCACAAACAGAAATAAATTATTGACATTCTAGTCTTGATTTATAATTCATTTTGTTGGGTGAGATTATACTAATCTAATCTTGATAATATGAATGAAAAGTTGTCATGAAATGATAAAAGCACTTTTGAACTGCTTACTCGGATGACCCAATATCTAATGGCTGCAAATAAATAATACAGAATTCAATTTTCCTGTAGACTGCTGGAAGTAACTGGCAATGGGTTTTTTTGAGTACAGTATCAAATGTTTGAATAAAATTTAGGACGATAACACATTTAACAGTTTATCTATTTGGTAAGTTTTGTGGACACAGAGGTTCTAAACAGATCATCGGACCCAAGTTATGAAAGCCTGAAAACTGCACTAAACCCCAAGTGTGTCTGAATTCTGTAAATTTTTGATATTTACATGTATTCCCAAAATGTAAAAATGTGACATTCTCATTTAAACTAAATCAAATTGCTGTTTGAAGTTTGAAGTAAAGTTATGTACATGTATTGTATTTCTAAAACACATTATAATACTTTCTGCAGACAAAGTTTGGGGTGAATATAGGAATCACCAAGTCTGTCTGTCTGTCTGTCTGTCTGTCAGGCTGTCCCTCCTGCTTCTGTACCAATGAACTAAGGTTGATCAACCTTGGTACGCAGATACTTCATGGGCTGGGGGAGTGTTATCTGTCACCAAGGTCCCACAGAGCACTGTTAGAAAAGGGGGAGCTAACTCGTATGTGCCGGAACCAAGGGACAGGGGGTCAGTCTATCGCTAGACTTAATGTTCTGATAGGCATAGCTAAAACGCAAGGAAGGTTTTCATAATTTAATTAGCAATAACAATTTAGAGGAATGATGATAACAATCAATTATTAAACAATGCCAAATAATAATAATAATTAAAGTACAAAGTATAAAATCTAAATATCCACTCTAAAGTAAAACTATTTCTCCTTACAATGTAAAATGTAAAATAAATGCCAAAACTACTAAATCATAAAATGAACTTAATCTCAAAATCAAAATGTAAAAGTCTCAAAAATAAAAGATTCCCAAAAGTATTTTCCAAAGTTAAATTATGAGTCAGAGATAAATTTTGTCTCAACACTACACAGTCAACTGGTAGACTGGTAGACAGTCTTGTAGGTCCAGTATCATGACGTGAGTAGTGAGAGGTTACGGTTCCGAAACACTGACTGTTTTCTAAAAAATTATCAAAAATAAAAGGTGAGTCAAAAATAACATTTTTGTCTAACACTACAAAGTCAACTGGTAGACTGATCAACAGTCTTACAGATCCAGTATAGTAGACTTTAGCAGTGCAAGTTTAGGTTTCCGAAAGGTGACTGCCTTTCCTAAATTTCACAACGATATTTATACTAAATCCAAAAATAAATAAATATATCTCGACATGTTAATATTACTCTCATTAGCAAAAATAGACTTTAATTAACAAAGCCTAATCCTATAATGTTTTGATAAAATCTTAAACTTTTAAAGTAACATATGCTAATTACAATTAATATTTCAAATCAAAGTGCTTTGAGCAAACTGTGACATTTCGAGTACTAATGCCACTACTTAGGTAAAATTAATTAAACAAATTAATAAAAAAATTTTACAAAATACAAACTTAAAATTTTCTTTCTAAAAGATAAAACATATTATTTATCCAAAATAACACTAACACAAATATAAGCCAAATAACACACCATGACATATTCCCCCCTACTCTTATATGTTTGTCCCCAAACAGGATATAAACATTCACATTAGTAACACCTATAAAAATCTGAATACACTCTGACACTACAAACTATAACCTGGTGCCAAAAAATAAATATACCAACAATTTATTTCAACGTGCTAGCTTCCAGCAACCTGTATTCCTTGTAAGGGAATTTAACAGATGAATTATAATATAATATCCCTGTAATCCAAAATTCAAATTGATGTAGTAAAAAGAATCAACAGGCGTGCACTCCTACTTATTCCTAGAACTACAAAAAAAAGATAGAAACTAATTGTTTTCTATGTACTACTGTCTTGGAAGGTTGCTATGGTAACATGATAAGCACCATCATGATATTCACTAATGTCTTAATGATCTGAGTTGGTAATGTCAAAGTTCTGTTCTTTTAGTCTGTTTTTGCTTTGTTGTTTCACAAAAAATCCAATCCTAAAATAGCTTTTGCATGTAGCGTTTCAAAAATTCTGAATTTCTGGTTAATTTTGTATTGTCCAAAAGAAAGTTGTAGCACTATTTCACCAATTATTGCATGCACTTCTCCACAGACACCTATTGCACTATTGATTGTTGATTTCTGTATCGCTGTAGTGGTGTTTAGACGATATAATTGATGTTGACTGATATAGTTAAAAGAAGCTCCACTGTCGACTAAACATCTCACTTGAAGGTTCTCTAGTCCAATTTCAACAAAGTTCCTCTCCATGGTTGTTGTGAACTGGAAACTTGCTGTTCCTGGTATAACACTGGATAGCCTGGCACATCTGTCTTTTTGGCAGCACCATCCTTTTGAAATTCTCTTTCTTCCCATGATTTTTCTATTCCCATTACCAAACTGAAACTAAAAGGAATTTTGTCAGTATCTTGTTTATGTTAATTTCTCTACTATGACTCAAATTTGCCAATCAAAGAAAATTGCACAAATAATATTTCTCCTGAATTGAATGTTTACTTCTGTAATGTTTTGCACAAACAAATTTTATAAAATTACAGATTCACACCAAGAATCAACATACATCTATACTTTTCACTAAAAAATATTAAAGTGTAATATAATAAGCAAGATGTACTTATCTTTTAGTTGTGTGTTGTTGAATCTGCAACTTGTCTCTGCTGTTACTGGTTCTCTCTTCCTCTCATTGTCTCTCCTGCTGTTGTCTCAATTTTGAAAATTTAAGTTTTAGATAATTTTGAATGAATTTTGCCAACCTACATTCTAGCTATGCAGTTTCAGAATCTTATTTGTATCGTGCCCAGGGTCAAACTCCACCATATCTGTCACCAAGGTCCCACAGAGCACTGTTAGAAAAGGGGGAGCTAACTCGTATGTGCCGGAACCAAGGGACAGGGGGTCAGTCTATCGCTAGACTTAATGTTCTGATAGGCATAGCTAAAACGCAAGGAAGGTTTTCATAATTTAATTAGCAATAACAATTTAGAGGAATGATGATAACAATCAATTATTAAACAATGCCAAATAATAATAATAATTAAAGTACAAAGTATAAAATCTAAATATCCACTCTAAAGTAAAACTATTTCTCCTTACAATGTAAAATGTAAAATAAATGCCAAAACTACTAAATCATAAAATGAACTTAATCTCAAAATCAAAATGTAAAAGTCTCAAAAATAAAAGATTCCCAAAAGTATTTTCCAAAGTTAAATTATGAGTCAGAGATAAATTTTGTCTCAACACTACACAGTCAACTGGTAGACTGGTAGACAGTCTTGTAGGTCCAGTATCATGACGTGAGTAGTGAGAGGTTACGGTTCCGAAACACTGACTGTTTTCTAAAAAATTATCAAAAATAAAAGGTGAGTCAAAAATAACATTTTTGTCTAACACTACAAAGTCAACTGGTAGACTGATCAACAGTCTTACAGATCCAGTATAGTAGACTTTAGCAGTGCAAGTTTAGGTTTCCGAAAGGTGACTGCCTTTCCTAAATTTCACAACGATATTTATACTAAATCCAAAAATAAATAAATATATCTCGACATGTTAATATTACTCTCATTAGCAAAAATAGACTTTAATTAACAAAGCCTAATCCTATAATGTTTTGATAAAATCTTAAACTTTTAAAGTAACATATGCTAATTACAATTAATATTTCAAATCAAAGTGCTTTGAGCAAACTGTGACATTTCGAGTACTAATGCCACTACTTAGGTAAAATTAATTAAACAAATTAATAAAAAAAATTTACAAAATACAAACTTAAAATTTTCTTTCTAAAAGATAAAACATATTATTTATCCAAAATAACACTAACACAAATATAAGCCAAATAACACACCATGACATATATACCAAAGTCAGGTCACTTTGACCCCTATGATTAGTTAAATCTTGTCCAATTCATGTCAAGCTCATATATTTTGTACAGTAAAACTTAGGTTAACCAAATTAAATTTAGTATGTAGTTGGATCATGTGCTGGGATAGTGTCATGTATTAAAATCAGGTCACTCTGACTTAGACTTTGACCTTTGACCCCTATGATAGTAAAACATTGTCTGATTTGTGTTTGGTGCATAGCTGTTGTGCTGTATCACTAAGATTGATAAAACTTTGTATGCAGAAATTATACTTTACAAACGGAAAAATTGCTGAATCTTTTGTTTCCTTTTTCTAACTTAAGTTTGCCTCAACCAAATGTTATGAAACTTATACACAATACTTATTACCACAAAAAAACTGAGATCAAGTACAAATTTGGGTAGTGTCACTTTTACCGTTCTTCAGTTATGTCCCTTTATAACTTTATATGATATGCAAGCAGGGGCATCATCTGTGTCCCATGGACACATTCTCCATTTATTTTTATGCCTCCAGCCGTAGCGGTGGGGGCATTAAGTTTTACCCTTGTCCGTCCTTACGTACGTACGTCCCACAGTTGGTTTCTGTTCTCTTACTTTAGTTTGCCTCAACCAAATGTTATGAAACTTATACACAATGCTTATTACCACAAAACACAGATCAAGTTTGAATTTTGGTGGCGTCACTTTAACCGTTTTAGAGTTATGCCCTTTATAAATGGAAAAATTGCAAAATTTTTAGTTTCCGTTCTCTAACTCCAAGTTTGCCTCAATTAAATGTTATGAAACTTATACACAATGCTTATTACCACAAAACACAGATCAAGTTTGAATTTTGGTGGCGTCACTTTAACCGTTTTAGAGTTATGCCCTTTATAAATGGAAAAATTGCAAAATTTTTAGTTTCCGTTCTCTAACTCCAAGTTTGCCTCAACCAAATGTTATGAAACTTATACACAATGCTTATTACCACAAAACACAGATCAAGTTTGAATTTTGGTGGCGTCACTTTAACTGTTCTAGAGTTATGGCTCTTTATAAATGGAAAAATTGCAAAATTTTTATTTTCTTCTAAATTTCAAGTAATTTTTAAAATTGAAGTTATCTTCCTTTGTCCATGATTATAGTTGAATCAACTACAATCAATGCTTTATACAATGCAATGTTTAATTTTGACTTCCATTGATAAAACACAGATCAAGTTGAATTTGGGTAGCGTCACTTTAACCATTATTGAGTTATGCCCCTTTATAAATCGAAAGATTGCAAAATTTTTAGTTTCCATTCTGTAACTTAAGTTTGCCTCAACCAAACACTATGAAACCTATACACAATATTCATTACCACAAAACTAAGATCAAGTACAAATTTTTTGTTTCCGTTTTCTAACTTTAGATTGCCTCAACCAAATGTTATGAAACTTATACACAATGCTTATTACTACATAATACAGATTAAGTACGAAATTTGGTGGCGACACTGTTACCATTCTTGAGTTATGTCCCTTTATAAACATAAAAATTGCTGAATTTTTCGTTTCCGTTCTCTAACTTTAGTGTGTCTCAACCAAATGTTATAAAACTTATACACAACCGTTCTATAGTTATGCGTGTTTACAAATAGAAAAATCGCTGAATTTTTAGTTTCTGTTCTCTACTTAAGTTAGCCTTTACCAAATGTTATGAGACTTACACACAATGCTTATTACCACAAAACTCAAGTTCAAATTTTGGTAGCGTCACTTTTACCGTTCTTTAGTTATGTCCCTTTATAACTATATGATATGCAAGCGGGGGCATCATCTGTGTCCACATGTGGACGCTATCCACATTTATTTTTAATGAAGCGAACCTCTTTAAAGACTTAGCTAATATTGTCCATTAATAAATAAATAAAATAAATTCTTGGTGTACCTGGATATGCTGATCTAACCATGTATATAGATTCTGGATATTGAATATATATAGGTAAAAGTCCAATTTAAAATTTTTCATTTCTTTGGCCGCATTCTTTCTGTGTCAGAAACCTATGCTGTGTCAAATATTTAATCACAATCCAAATTCAGAGCTGTATCAAGCTTGAATGTGGTGTCCATACTTGCTGTTACTGTTTGTGGTTTGACCTTTGCGGTTGTATCAAGCTGTGCCCCACGGAGCATTTTATTATTGGTTGTAAACATGTCAGTGAAACTAAAGGAAGGCTTAACAAATGTATGTGTGGCCATAGATCTGACATCAACAACAATGCAAGCGTTATTGTTCACCTGCATTTAAGAAATCTATGGTCTTTCTTGGTCTCAACACCCTTAATGTTTCACACGTTTTTTATACGACCGCAAAAACTTCAAGACATAACTTGTGTGTTAGTGTATGGATCTCTCTGACATTGTACCACAAGATTCCATATCACAAAGGGAATGCTGGGATTGATTTTGGGGGTAATTGCCTCAAAATATTAGGAATTAGGGGCCAAAAAAGGGGCAGAAAACAAGCATTTTTATACGACCGCAAAAAAAATTTTTGCGGTCGTATATTGGTATGACGTTGGCGTCGTCATCGTCGTCGTCGTCGTCTGGCGTCGTCCGAAGACACATTGGTTTTCGCACTCTAACTTGAGTTTAAGTGAATGGATCTCTATGAAATTTTACCATAAGGTTCAATACCACAAAAGGAAGGTTGGGATTGATTTTGGGGGTTATGGTACCAACAGTTAAGGAATTAGGGGCCAAAAATAAGCATTTTTGTAACTTCAAGACATAACTTGTGTGTTAGTGTATGGATCTCTCTGACATTGTACCACAAGATTCCATATCACAAAGGGAATGCTGGGATTGATTTTGGGGGTAATTGCCTCAAAATATTAGGAATTAGGGGCCAAAAAGGGGGAAGAAAACAAGCATTTTTATACGACCGCAAAAACAATTTTTGCGGTCGTATATTGGTATGACGTTGGCGTCGTCATCGTCGTCGTCGTCGTCTGGCGTCGTCCGAAGACACATTGGGTTTCGCACTCTAACTTGAGTTTAAGTGAATGGATCTCTATGAAATTTAACCATAAGGTTCAATATCACAAAAGGAAGGTTGGGATTGATTTTGGGGGTTATAGTACCAACAGTTAAGGAATTAGGGGCCAAAAAGGGGCCAAAAATAAGCATTTTTGTAACTTCCAGACATTACTTGTGTGTTAGTGTATGGATCTCTCTGACATTGTACCACAAGGTTCCATATCACACAGGGAATGCTGGGATTGATTTTAGGGGGTAATTGCCTCAAAATATTAGGAATTAGGGGCCAAAAAAGGGGCAAAAAACAAGCATTTTTCTAGTTTCATGACAATAACTTGTGTGTAAGTGTATGGATCTTTCTGAAATTGTACTACAAGGTTCCATATCACAAAGGGAAAGCTGGAATTGAGTTTGGGGGTAATTGCCCAAAACGTTTAGGAATAAGGGGCCAAAAAGGGGCAAAAAATAAGCATTTTTTTAGTTTCCAGACAATAACTTGTGTTCAAGTGTATGGATCTCTTTGAAATTGTACCACAAGGTTCCATATCACACAAGAAATGCTGGGATTGATTTTGGGGGTAGTTGCCTCAAAATATTAGGAATAAGGGGCCAAAAAAGGGGCAAAAAACAAGCATTTTTCTAGTTTCATGATAATAACTTGTGTATAAGTGCATGGATCTTTCTGAAATTGTACTACAAGGTTCCATATCACAAAGGGAAAGCTGGAATTGAGTTTGGGGGTAATTGCCCAAAATGTTTAGGAATAAGGGGCCAAAAAGGGGCAAAAAATAAGCATTTTTCTAGTTTCCAGCCAATAACTTGTGTTCAAGTGTATGGATCGCTCTGAAATTGTACTGCAAGGTACCATACCACAAAGGGAAGGCTGGGATTGAGTTTTGGGGTGATGAATCATAAGGGGGTTCAAAAAATTTGGGGGGGGGGGGTTCCTTTTTTTTCTTTTTTATACGACCGCAAAAAAAATTTTGTGGTCGTATATTGGTATGACGTTGGCGTCGTCGTCGTCGTCGTCGTCAGGCGTCGTCCGAAGACACATTGGTTTTCGCACTCTAACTTTAGTTTAAGTGAATGGATCTCTATGAAATTTTACCACAAGGTTCAATACCACAAAAGGAAGGTTGGGATTGATTTTGGGGGTTATGGAACCAACAGTAAAGGAATTAGGGGCCAAAAATAAGCATTTTTGTAACTTCCAGACATAACTTGTGTGTTAGTGTATGGATCTGTCTGACATTGTACCACAAGGTTCCATATCACAAAAGGAATGCTGGGATTGATTTTGGGGGTAATTGCCTCAAAATTTTAGGAACAAAGGGCCAAAAAAGGGGCAAAAAACAAGCATTTTTCTAGTTTCATGACAATAACTTGTTTGTAAGTGTCATAAGGGGGTTCAAAATATTTGGGGGGGGGGGGGGGGGGTTTCCTTTTTTTTCTTTTTTTCCTTTTTTTTTCTTTTAAAATTTTCCATTTTAAGTTGGTTATTTCTGATTTATATTTAAAAGCAAATAATAATGATATGGTAGGAGATACACACCAAACAGTATGTGCAAATTATTATGTAATAAGTATTGTGCAATAGCAAGAAATTTTCAATTGCACAGTATTGCACAATAGCAAGAAATCTTCAATTGCACAGTATTGCGCAATAGCAAGAAATCTTCAATTGCACCGTATTGCGCAATAGCAAGAAATATCCAATAGCACAATATTGCGCAATAGCAAGAAATTGTCAATTGTACAGTATTGCGCAATAGCTAGAAATATTTAATTGCACAGTATTGTGCAAAAGAAGATAATTCTTATAAATTGCGTATTTCTTGACCAATTTCAATGGGGTTTTGTTCTTGAATTCTTGGGGTTCTTTAATATGCTGAATCTAACCGTGTATTTAGTTTTTGGATTTTGGGCCCCGTTTTTAAATTGGTCCACATTGAGGTCCAAAGGGTCCAAAATTAAATTTTGTTTGATTTCATCAAAAATTGAATTATTGGGGTTCTTTGATATGCCGAATCTAACCGTGTATTTAGATTCTTAATTTTTGGTTCCGTTTTCAATATTGGTCTACATTAAGGTCCAAAGGGTCCAAAATTTAACTTAGTTTGATTTTAACAAAAATTGAATTCTTAGGGTTCTTTGATATGCTGAATCTAAACATGTATTTAGATTTTTGATTATGGGCCCAGTTTTCAAGTTGGTCCAAATCAGGGTCCAAAATTAAACTTTGTTTGATTTCAACAAAAATTGAATATATGGGGTTCTTTGATATGCTGAATCTAACCATGTATTTAGATTTTTGATTTTTGGGCCCCGTTATCAACTTTGTCCACATTGAGGTCAAAAGGGTCCAAAATTAAACTTTGTTTGATTTCATCAAAAATTGAATTCTTGGGGTTCTTTGATATGCTGAATCTAACCATGTATTTAGATTTTGGATATTGGACCATAATAGGTGAATGTCCAATTTAAAATGTTTAAGTTCTTAGACCACATTCATTCTGTGTCAGAAACCTATGCTGTGTCAAATATTTCATCACAATCCAAATGCAAAGCTGTATCAAGCTTGAATGTTGTGTCCATACTTGCCCCAACTGTTCAGGGTTCGACCTCTGCGGTCGTATCAAGCTGCGCCCTGCGGAGCATTTTATTTCCTTTTTTCTTTTAAAATTTTCCATTTTAAGTTGGTTATTTCTGTTTTATATTTAAAAGCAAATAATAATGATATGGTAGGAGATACACACCAAACAGGATGAGTAAATTATTATATAATAAGTATTGTGCAATAGCAAGAAATTTTCAATTGCACAGTATTGCACAATAGCAAGAAATCTTCAATTGCACAGTATTGCGCAATAGCAAGAAATCTTCAATTGCACAGTATTGTGCAATAGCAAGAAATATCCAATAGCACAATATTGCGCAATAGCAAGAAATTGTCAATTGTACAGTATTGCGCAATAGCAAGAAATATTCAATTGCACAGTATTGTGCAAAAGAAGATACTTCGTATAAATTGCTTATTTCTTGACCAATTTCAATGGGGTTTTATTCTTGAATTCTTGGGGTTTTTTAATATGCTGATTCTAACCGTGTATTAAGTTTTTGGATTTTGGGCCCCGTTTTTAAATTGGTCCACATTGAGGTCCAAAGGGTCCAAAATTAAACTTTGTTTGATTTCATCAAAAATTGAATTATTGGGGTTCTTTGATATGCCGAATCTAACCGTGTATTTAGATTCTTAATTTTCGGTTCCGTTTTCAAATTGGTCTACATTAAGGTCCAGAGGGTCCAAAATTTAAATTAGTTTGATTTTAACAAAAATTGAATTCTTAGGGTTCTTTGATATGCTGAATCTAAGCATGTATTTAGATTTTTGATTATGGGCCCAGTTTTCAAGTTGGTCCAAATCGGGGTCCAAAATTAAACTTTGTTTGATTTCAACAAAAATTGAATATATGGGGTTCTTTGATATGCTGAATCTAACCATGTATTTAGATTTTTGATTTTTGGGCCCCATTATCAACTTTGTCCACATTGAGGTCAAAAGGGTCCAAAATTAAACTTTGTTTGATTTCATCAAAAATTGAATTCTTGGGGTTCTTTGATATGCTGAATCTAACCATGTATTTAGATTTTGGATATTGGACCATAATAGGTGAATGTCCAATTTAAAATTTTTAAGTTCTTAGACCACATTCATTCTGTGTCAGAAACCTATGCTGTGTCAAATATTTAATCACAATCCAAATTCAGAGCTGTATCAAGCTTGAATGTTGAGTCCATACTTGCCCAAACTGTTCAGGGTTCGACCTCTGCGGTCGTATCAAGCTGCGCCCTGCGGAGCATTTTATTCTAGTTTCATGACAATAATTTGTGTGAAAGTGTATGGATCTTTCTGAAATTGTACAAGGTTCCATATCACAAAGGGAAAGCTGGAATTGAGTTTGGGGGTAATTGCCCGAAACGTTTAGGAATAAGGGGCCAAAAATAAGCATTTTTCTAGTTTCCAGACAATAACTTGTGTTCAAGTTTATGGATCTCTCTGAAATTGTACCACAAGGTTCCATATCACACAGGGAATGCTGGGATTGATTTTGGGGGTAATTGCCTCAAAATTTTAGGAATTTGGGGGGCAAAAAACAAGCATTTTTCTAGTTTCATGACAGGTTCCATATCACAAAGGGAAAGCTGGAATTGAGTTTGGGGGTAATTGCCCGAAACGTTTAGGAATTGGGGGCCAAAAAGGGGCCAAAAACACATTTTTCTAGTTTCCAGACAATAACTTGTGTTCAAGTGTATGGATCTCTCTGAAATTGTACTGCAAGGTACCATACCACAAAGGGAAGGCTGGGATTGAGTTTGGGGGTGATGAATCATAAGGGGGTTTAAAAAATTTGGGGGGGGGGATTTTTTTTTTTTCCTTTTTTTTTCTTTTTTTCCTTTTTTTTTCTTTTAAAATTTTCCATTTTAAGTTGGTTATTTCTAATTTATATTTAAAAGCAAATAATAATGATATGGTAGGAGATACACACCAAACAGAATGTGTAAATTATTATATAATAAGTATTGGGCAATAGCAAGAAATTTTCAATTGCACAGTATTGTACAATAGCAAGAAATCTTCAATTGCACAGTATTGCACAATAGCAAGAAATCTTCAATTGCACAGTATTGCGCAATAGCAAGAAATATCCAATAGCACAATATTGCGCAATAGCAAGAAATTGTCAATTCTGCAGTATTGCGCAATAGCAAGAAATATTCAATTGCACAGTATTGTGCAAAAGAAGATACTTCGTATAAATTGCTTATTTCTTGACCAATTTCAATGGGGTTTTATTCTTGAATTCTTGGGGTTCTTTAATATGCTGAATCTAACCGTGTATTAAGTTTTTGGATTTTGGGCCCCGTTTTAAAATTGGTCCACATTGAGGTCCAAAGGGTCCAAAATTAAACTTTGTTTGATTTCATCAAAAATTGAATTATTGGGGTTCTTTGATATGCCGAATCTAACCGTGTATTTAGATTCTTAATTTTTGGTTCTGTTTTCAAATTGGTCTACATTAAGGTCCAAAGGGTCCAAAATTAAACTAAGTTTGATTTTAACAAAAATTGAATTCTTAGGGTTCTTTGATATGCTGAATCTAAACATGTATTTAGATTTTTGATTATGGGCCCAGTTTTCAAGTTGGTCCAAATCGGGGTCCAAAATTAAACTTTGTTTGATTTCAACAAAAATTGAATATATGGGGTTCTTTGATATGCTGAATCTAACCATGTATTTAGATTTTTGATTTTTGGGCCCCATTATCAACTTTGTCCACATTGAGGTCAAAAGGGTCCAAAATTAAACTTTGTTTGATTTCATCAAAAATTGAATTCTTGGGGTTCTTTGATATGCTGAATCTAACCATGTATTTAGATTTTGGATATTGGACCATAATAGGCGAATGTCCAATTTAAAATTTTTAAGTTCTTAGACCACATTCATTCTGTGTCAGAAACCTATGCTGTGTCAAATATTTAATCACAATCCAAATTCAGAGCTGTATCAAGCTTGAATGTTGAGTCCATACTTGCCCAAACTGTTCAGGGTTCGACCTCTGCGGTCGTATCAAGCTGCGCCCTGCGGAGCATTTTATTCTAGTTTCATGACAATAACTTGTGTGAAAGTGTATGGATCTTTCTGAAATTGTACAAGGTTCCATATCACAAAGGGAAAGCTGGAATTGAGTTTGGGGGTAATTGCCCGAAACGTTTAGGAATAAGGGGCCAAAAATAAGCATTTTTCTAGTTTCCAGACAATAACTTGTGTTCAAGTTTATGGATCTTTCTGAAATTGTACCACAAGGTTCCATATCACACAGGGAATGCTGGGATTGATTTTGGGGGTAATTGCCTCAAAATTTTAGGAATTTGGGGGGCAAAAAACAAGCATTTTTCTAGTTTCATGACAGGTTCCATATCACAAAGGGAAAGCTGGAATTGAGTTTGGGGGTAATTGCCCGAAACGTTTAGGAATTGGGGGCCAAAAAGGGGCCAAAAACACATTTTTCTAGTTTCCAGACAATAACTTGTGTTCAAGTGTATGGATCTCTCTGAAATTGTACTGCAAGGTACCATACCACAAAGGGAAGGCTGGGATTGAGTTTGGGGGTGATGAATCATAAGGGGGTTTAAAAAATTTGGGGGGGGATTTTTTTTTTTTCCTTTTTTTTCTTTTTTTCCTTTTTTTTTCTTTTAAAATTTTCCATTTTAAGTTGGTTATTTCTAATTTATATTTAAAAGCAAATAATAATGATATGGTAGGAGATACACACCAAACAGAATGTGTAAATTATTATATAATAAGTATTGGGCAATAGCAAGAAATTTTCAATTGCACAGTATTGTACAATAGCAAGAAATCTTCAATTGCACAGTATTGCACAATAGCAAGAAATCTTCAATTGCACAGTATTGCGCAATAGCAAGAAATATCCAATAGCACAATAGCAAGAAATTGTCAATTCTGCAGTATTGCGCAATAGCAAGAAATATTCAATTGCACAGTATTGTGCAAAAGAAGATACTTCGTATAAATTGCTTATTTCTTGACCAATTTCAATGGGGTTTTATTCTTGAATTCTTGGGGTTCTTTAATATGCTGAATCTAACCGTGTATTAAGTTTTTGGATTTTGGGCCCCGTTTTTAAATTGGTCCACATTGAGGTCCAAAGGGTCCAAAATTAAACTTTGTTTGATTTCATCAAAAATTGAATTATTGGGGTTCTTTGATATGCCGAATCTTACCGGCTATTTAGATTCTTAATTTTTGGTTCTGTTTTCAAATTGGTCTACATTAAGGTCCAAAGGGTCCAAAATTAAACTAAGTTTGATTTTAACAAAAATTGAATTCTTAGGGTTCTTTGATATGCTGAATCTAAACATGTATTTAGATTTTTGATTATGGGCCCAGTTTTCAAGTTGGTCCAAATCGGGGTCCAAAATTAAACTTTGTTTGATTTCAACAAAAATTGAATATATGGGGTTCTTTGATATGCTGAATCTAACCATGTATTTAGATTTTTGATTTTTGGGCCCCGTTATCAACTTTGTCCACATTGAGGTCAAAAGGGTCCAAAATTAAACTTTGTTTGATTTCATCAAAAATTGAATTCTTGGGGTTCTTTGATATGCTGAATCTAACCATGTATTTAGATTTTGGATATTGGACCATAATAGGTAAATGTCCAATTTAAAATTTTTAAGTTCTTAGACCACATTCATTCTGTGTCAGAAACCTATGTTGTGTCAAATATTTAATCACAATCTAAATGCAAAGCTGTATCAAGCTTGAATGTTGTGTCCATACTTGCCCCAACTGTTCAGGGTTCGACCTCTGCGGTCGTATCAAGCTGCGCCCTGCGGAGCATTTTATTTATTTTTATACCACATACTGAACACTTCTAAGGTTGACTCGCATTGTTTTGGATGAATTTATCCAAAAATATTTACTATCCATACTTAAAACAAGTTGTTTTCATACGACCGCAAACATTTTCCGGCCTTATAATGGTATGGCGATGTCGTTGTCGTCATCCTAAGACTTTTGGTTTCCAGACAATATAAGATCATATATATCAGCAAAATACAGCAAAATGGAGAAATGTATTTTCAAAGTTTTGCTTTTGATACTATCTTTTGATCATAAAAAAAACTTCTATTCTAGTTTCCTTAAATTCCATGAAGGATCCGCAAGTTATTGATGCCTAAAAAAAAAAAAAAACAGTCTGAACCTGAATATTGACGACGTCGATGGCAGCATGTATGATCACTATGTCTGGCTTCCATGACAAAATGTTGAAGGCTTAACAAAAAAGTTCTATATAATATAGGTAAAGTGATAACAATAGCTCATACAGCCAAGCAGACCATAGATATAAGAAGATGTGGTATGAGTGCCAAGTTTGCTTAAAAAAGATATCCAAACTCCAAGTATTTAATTGTTATTTAAAAAACATATTGCAGCAATGCTAAAATGCTTGCAGGAAATACATATACTCTGAGATTAAAAGTTTCATATCTATCAACTTCTTTCTAAAAAAAAGTTGCATACAAACATGAAATCCAAATAATGTTGTCAAAAGCAAGTTATAAATGAGGTTAATATTTCAATGGGTTTGGGATAAACACATTTCATGGACTGCAAAATATAACCTCTATCAACATGTGGGGCAATTGCATATTTAGACAGACACAGTAAGGTGTGGAATAAAATTAATTTGGGAAACTGATAAATTGTGAAACAAATTATTTAGAAAGTTTATTAAAATACATTTTATACCAAAATACATTATATACATAAAAAAACCATTATATGTACATAGTGGAATGATTACAGTACAAATGTATAACCAAATATATATACATACATATATTGTTACATGAATACAAAAGTGGAATTTAAATCATCAATTATTCCTGAAGCATTTTAGTTTTGAAATGAAAAGTATACTATTGAGGAAACATAATAGCATTTATTATATGACAGTAAATAAGTGAAATCAACATATAATTAAATCTTTGCATGAAACTTTCCATTGCTTAAATCCATAAAGATATAAGTTTTATGTATCAACTGATGAAAACAAAATAATTTACTCTTTCTGTATTTGTATTTGCAATAAATCTGCCAAACCAAATCTTGATGATTTTCAAATTAAAGTGTAAAATAGTTTCTACTGTAAATTCAGAAATTATTGCGTGCATTTATTATTGCGACTTTGTCATTTTAGACTAAAATGCGATTTTAATTTTTGCGATATTGAGAAAAATCCTGTTTAATTCATATAAAAAAATTCAAAATGCGAGTTTAAATTATTGCGATTATAACCCTGTCGCATTTTTCGCAATAATAAAAACATGGCAATAATTTCTGAATTTACAGTATTTCTATTTGACTTTTAAGCAGAATCATCATCTATCGCTAGCGAGGAGTAATAAAATATAATACACATGCCCAGATTAATAACCGTATTCTCATTTGTTGTAGGTTGCATAAAAATCATTAAGGAAGCATCATTTGAGAAGGTTATATTTACATTTGCATTTTACCCCTATGTTCTATTTTTAGCCATGTTGGCCATCTTGGTTGGCAGGCAGGGTCATTGGACATATTATTTAAACTAGATATCCCAATGACGATTGTGGCCAAGTTTGGTTAAATTTGGCCCAGAGGTTTCAGATGAGAAGATTTTTGTAAAAGTTAACGGACGACGACGGATGGAATTTTGGCCAGGTGAGCTAAGGAGTAGTATTGCCATATAAAAGAGCAATATCTACCTTATCCTTTCAATAAAAATTCTAATTACAATGTTAAAGATTTGTAAAAATATTGCTTTGTCATTTTGCACATTCATCTGTTAAATTTGGAATGGATACTTAAACTTCAATGAAAATATAACATATGTGGTACTGTACAATTCTTAGTGAAATAATTTACAATGAACAGACTATTTACAAACATTTCAAGGACAAAAAACATCAAACATTTTGTAAACTTTGTTAAAATGCATTACCAAATTTAATAAAAACAGCAATTGTGTCATATGGCACTTCATTTTCAAATGGTTTACATATATATATTTTTTTCTTAGTTTAGTTTGTGATTACACTTTCATTCTGATCACCTGTTTTCTCACCATTAACAATTCAAAGTTTTCTAGATTGTTTAGCACATTGCAAGCTGTTAAAATTTAAAACGTGATGGACATGAATTAAATTTACATGAATTCCACCTGAGTAAATGTATTGTACAGCTACATGTTCATTATGTTGTTTACCTAGAGGCTCCAGGAGCTGTTATTGCTCACCTGTTATTGCTCACCTGTCATTTATGCATTACAATTAAAACAATGCAATAATAAAATGTGTCTTGAATGAGAACTATGTAGACCAAAATTTCTTGCTGATAATTTTTGCTGGACCTGTCCATTATCTACTAAAGTTTTCTAGATAAACAAATGTGATTTACAAAAAAATGTTCAAAAATGTAATTTAGAGGCAATAACTCCTTTAAAGAATCCATTGAGGATTTCATTCATAATGACTTATTTATAAATCTTATGCTGCAGATCATATATGCTTTCTAATTATTAAGATTCAGTCTATCTATTATAGTTTTCAAGATATTATGTAAACACAATATAATTTGTTGAAGATCATCATTTAATTGCAATAACTCCTAAAAGTAATCAATTGACTTTCTGTCATTTGACCTTTTAGTAGATCTTATTTTCTATTTACAGCTTCTCTCTATCTATAATACTTCCTGCCAAAAAAACACAAAAATGGATAAAAATCTTCAAAGGGCAATAACTCATACAAGGAGTTATCTGAGGATTTCAATCGTGATGACTTATTTGAAGACTTTCTATATATTATAGTTTTTAAGAAAACAGCTCCAATACAGAATCACCTGAAAAATTTTGATAAAAAATGGACAGAAGGGATTCTTGACATTCTGAAAACCTCTAACAATTATCAAGATGATAGACATTACTTTCTTTTAACCTGTTTGTTATTTCTAGCCTTGTGACCATCTTTATTGATGGTGGGATAATTTTAGAAATATTTGAAATATTAAAAATTTGGTTTCAATTGAAACAAAAGAGAAGATTTTTATGAAATAAATGGAAGACAGACAGAAAACTAACGTCAAGTGATGACAATAGCTCACATTGCTATATGAGCTAAACCCTCTCGTTACAATCATGATTAAATGAATTCCCGAGAAGAAAACCAATCAGCTGATACAAATTTCTGCAGGAAATAAATTTTACACATGCAATGACCAGATTAAATGAACAATTGAAAAATATGTATTAATCTGAATAAATGTGTAAATTGATGTTATTTCTTATCTACTATCTGTGTCTGAAGAATAACTGTAGTACAACCATCGTTACCAGTAATATAAGGCTGATCTTTGTGGTTTCTGCTCCAAGCTATTTAAAATTAAAAAAAACATTAAGATAAATCAACTTTTTAAAAATGTTTTTTGTTCTGTATCATTGACCTATAGGCTGCTAAAATTTTGCATACAACTCTGGCTCATTGAACTACAACTGAAAATCGAAAAAATAATCTTTTTTATCATCTGAAATATTACTGATTGAATTCTTTCAAAATAGGTGAACATTTGTTTAGAAAGCACATAAAATCGGCGAAAAACCTTCTTAAATTTGTCTTAAAATCATCAAATCTCTAATTTATATGTTGTTGATACATAAATTTCAGTTTTAATGATGTAAAATAATGATTGGGTCACCAACTTTGTTTTTACGGTATACATCATTCAAAGTGGTGTTTTATGTGAAAAAAATACCACAAAATGTCCATATAATTGTAATGTCATCGCGTTGTAGGCTGTAAAACGTTAATTTTTTTATGTTTTTCACTATCAACTAGGTAACAGATTGATTATTAGACAAAAATGAATTCGGTGACCATATGATTATTTTACATCATTAAAACGGGAATTTATGTATCAACAATATATATTTTTTTTAAGAAAAAATTTACGTATTAGAAATTAGAGATTTGATGATTTTAAGACAAATTAAGAAGGTTTTTCGCAAATTTTATGTACTTTCTTTACAAATGTCAACCAATTTTGAAAGAATTCAATCAGTAATATTTCAGATAAGAAAAGAGATAAATACATTATTTTTTCGATTTTCAGTTAAAGTTCGATGAGCCAAGATTGTATGCAGAATTTTAGCAAAATCTGTGACATAGCCCATTTACTGTTCCTTGACCTTAAACACATGTCTTAACTGGTCCAGTGCACTAGCTTTTACAGATTTATATGAATAAATTAGCATACTAATGCTCCCCCAATATGTCAGTAATATAAGGCTGATCTTTGTGGTTCCTTCACAGGGTTAAAATTTAAAAAATTGTAATATCCTACTGGCAATTGATTCATATGCTTTGTGGTTCCTGCTCCATGATAATGTATTGTGTAAATAAAATTTAGTTTACACAATATTCAAAAATTTTCAGCTTAGCTCATTGGCCTGTCCGTTGAAAGAGATGCAATGCATGATGGACTTCTTTACTGAGAACACACGTTTTTTACTGATCTACAACATGGATGTTTAAAGACCATGGTGTAAAGCATTTGTTTTATGCTCAGATTAACTCAATGTAAATCCAATTTGAAACCTATCCTTTACATAGGCCAAGCATAAAGTACAACAAAGTTATCCCCTTTTTCGACTGTTCACATACCAGACAGCTTTCAAAGCACTGTCATTTTTCTAAGGTTGCTTATTTTATAGAATACTTACTGTTGTGTAGTAATTACATCGATCCCCTTGACAACATTCTACACATGTCCAATCTCGATACCAATCTTTCATACATCTGACACCTAGACCAACACTCTCCTGCTGACAGTGTGTTGATGTATCACATGTTTTAGATATGTAATGATATCTTTCACTCCTTGGTTGCCAAAACAAAGGCTCTGTGAACAATGAACAAATTATACATGAAGTTCCTGTTCCTAAGTAAAGAAAACTATGTTGTGTTTCTACATTGTAGTTTATGTTGCAAAGATTGACAGGTAAGGGCATTAGTTTGAAAATGAGCTCATGGACTCCTCTTTTTAAAAATTGACATTTGGCTTGATTATGTATGAAGATTATCTGTACCAATTTTCATGAAGAAATTGACCATGGATTTTTTTTTCGATTAAATATTCAGCAAAAAGTTTTTTTTTCTAAAATTAGGAAAATTTAATAAAATTGAATTATATCCAAAGAATTTATACACAAATTCAGAGCATATATATGTTAAGAAGATATTTCAAATGTTTATACAAAATCCGCTAATGTTTACCTTATGAAAAAAAAAAGTTGGGTACATGTATGTCAGTCCACAGGATAGAAATGTCCAGAAAACCAAAATATTTGTAAATGTCTAAAATTTCGACCCTATTTTCTTTAAAAGTAGTACATGAAGGTATGTTTTTATTACATAATTGAAGTGTCTAGGTGAAAAATAGCTTGTACTTTTATGCAAATTTTCAAAAATTCACCATGGGATAAAAACTGCCCTTAAATTATGGTTGGTTAGATTATTATTTTTTCTAAATATGTTGGTTTATTTGAACTGAGATGTTTGATATCTTTTTCCATCCACATATATGTATGTGAGAATATTTCGCACATTTCACTTAAGTTTGGTCTGATATTTTCACGAACCATCATGTGTTTTTGTACTAACTTACGCTGCCATTTAATCTGTGTTCGACAAGTATCTTCTTCCTGCCTACACTGTATTGTTGTTTTTACACATTTATCTTTGTTGCTGTTCTGTGCTTCACATACATAACACTCTAATGCTGTACCTACAAATTCAATGATTGCCTTTATTAACTGTGCATCACTGTTTTCATTGTTAACATAAAAACTGATGACACTAGGTGTCTTCATCCTTTGATTTCAGGCATATGTATACAATATTTAAAAGTTAAAAAACTATTCAAATTGAAAAATGTTGTTTTGATTTGCTGAATCCCTTCCTTGAAGGAGTTACTCACCTGCTGTTATCGATCAGCAATACAGTTTCCTAAAAATATATCTTCAATCATCACATGTACAGAAGTCAAAAAATGTATTTATTATAAAAATATGTTTTCATTTTCAGACTTATTTAAGTCAGAAAATGACAGACTTGTTTAGGTAAATTTATGTTTATGAAAAGACTTAATTTTAATTGGTGGCCAAAGTGCACCACCTATGACATCATAAACCTGTCTGAGAGTTCACAAGGACCTGAGCTATCTATATTTAATTATCTAATTGAACATTTTTACTTAACATATGATTATTTTCCTCATTTTGTGTGGTAATAGATGGTTGCATTGTAAAGTAAATAAACATAATCTCTGTTTTTTTAGGCTCTCATGCATATTTTTCTTTAGAAGACAAAGCATCGTCTTTCAATGTTGTCATAATTTCATGTAGATGCTTGACCTTTTTATAAATACATGTATGTTTGGGTCTAGAAGTTGACCAATTTTGGTAACTTATGATTATCGACTTGCAGGAGTCAATATATTCAACTTTTTAATTCAGGTCAAATATTTCTTGCTTAACACTAATTGACTTATTGAAGTCATAATTTGTCTTAAATTAAAGGGAGACAAATCTTGAAACCTACAAATTTAGACCTCTATGAGTCAAAAGCAGATTTAGACTTATTTATGTCTGAGCTCTGATTCTGTAATTTATAAAACAATATTATGAACGGTTCAACCTATACATTATGTAGTCCTAAAACATATGACCTCGAGGGCAATTTTCTCTATTTCTTTTTGTTTTCTGATATTTTCATTTTACTTTTTTTCTATTTGCTGTTTGCTGTTTTTACTATCAATGTGCTACCATAGGTAAAAAACTCCCCAGGCCGTTTTAGCGCTGCGGAAATCAGCACTATCGCATTTCAGTGCTGTGCTAGTGGGCAGACCACAGCGGTATCCAATCAAATATCAGCGCTATTGTTTTTCAATTTTCAAATTTCCGGTGTTTAGCTTTACAATTTCGATCATGTGATCGACTGGTTGATTTGTCTGAGATTGATTATTCACCTAGTAACGAAGTCAAATATAGGAGGGATCAGTTCAATGAAAGAACAAAATGGCGTCATTGACAGATCTGACTGTTAAAGACCTATTTATTTTCCAGAGTAATTTTAAGAATAAAAAGGTGCAGAAATTTCATGAACTAGGTGGATAGTGCTCTTTAAATCATTCCCAAAGTATTTAAGGAAAGGTTTACCCTTTCTCTGACAACATGGTTTTTGTCTATTTTTTCAATCATTTACGATTATAAATTCATTACTGTTTAGTGGTTACAACTAAACTGGTGAATTTTCATTGCTTGAATGAAGGAAGTATTCCCGTTGTCCAGGGATTCATTACAAGCCAGTATTTTGCGATTACTTGTCCTTGCATCGTTTGTTTCAAAATCTAATAGAGGATAAAACACAACAAAATCACGTAAATAAATATAAATTATTGTGTTTTGCCATCCAATTATCAATAAATGTCAATTAAAAGTTATTTTAAAATCGATATTTAACAGGGGATTGCTTGGATATGAAATGGCATTTAATGATGCATAGAAACATCCATTTGGTCACAGTGTAAATAGGAACAGGAAGTTGTAGAAGGGAGACAATTTAGGCGGGAAAAGTACTAAAACCAGTATTGTCAAATATTTCTGGTGGCAATAATTCAAACATTTATAAAGTTATCAAACACAACCTTTAAAGTTGGTATTTATGTTTGAATTGGCAAATATAATTTTTCATTAATAACCCACCTTAAATGATAAAAAAAAATCCTTCAACAAAAATGAGGTTTCTATAAGATGCATCTTGGAAGTATGTTAGCCTTTATTTAAACATGTCTGCATTAACATTTAACTACTTATAGAAGGGGTAATCCACTTTTTCCTTTGATATGAAATAAAATATTGATTTTAATTGTGAATTTTTAATTTGAAAGATGTAAATATTAATAATAGTTGATGGAAACAGTCCAATTTGGCCATTGGAAACTTTTTAAACAAGTGTCAGTTAATTACATTTGTATGAAGCTGTAAATGAAATACATTAGTTTAAGTTAAAAAACTAAAAGTAAGAGAAAGGGTATACCTACTGTGCTACATTGTACATAATCACTCTTATAAGAAAAGATGGAGAGGGATAGTAATGAAATCAAATTATTAAAATTATCTAGGCATTTTAATGAAAAGCTTTATGAGGGTGGTAAAGGGTTATTTTCGTGCAACGTGTATTGCCATTTTTATTTCACGTGCAGCCGTGAAAAAGGGTCGTTATTCACCGTGTTTAGGGAAATCGGTAAAAAGATCAACGTGCAAGAAATTTTTAATTGTTCGTTCATCGTGAAATGGTAATTTTATTTCGCGTTCTTCCGTGCAAATACCCCTCCCCCCTTTACGCCCAACCTTTATAATAAAAATGTAACTTATTTTCATTTGTGATAATGCATATATATATGTGTATAAAAATGCAGGTCTTTTTCTATTATAACCAACATGGCAGTTGTAAGTAAATGTAACATTACGTCGCAAATGCGAAAGGTGAATCAATCTTATATCATGCGCTTACCACAGCGTCATCAAAAAATCCTGGGGAAAACTCAGAACTGTGTAGCAAAATAAAATTTTCAAATAAGCAAGTTTACTTGAATTATAAATGTTAAAAAAACTCACAACTAAATATTGCTATCCTAAATCATAAGAAAACAGATCAAAATGTAAAAAATAACAATTCATCTACCTTTTCATGTAAATTTTAATTTCATATATTTAAAAACAAATTCCTTCCTGAAACAATTTTAACGAATTTTTATACTTTATCCATTTTGTAATCCAAACTACATGGTCATGAGAGTAAAATTATTATTTACATTATTGTTAAATATCTATTTGCTAGAATTGTGTTTTAAAAATTTTGAAATCGTATTAAATTCAAAAATATTGCTAGATGTTGTCAAACTCCCTTACTTGAGAATAAAATGTTTAAGCTGTGGTAGATTTATTAATTTCTTTAGTAGGTCAGGAAGAAATTTTGTTAACACTTTTAATGTTGTTTGGTCGATTAAATTTAGACATAAGAGAGACAATAGATTAGCTATTTTGTTGTTGTTCAGACATATCAGGTTGGAAAGTGCTAAAGGAATTTGAGATATTCCAATATAAATTCTCATTTCAAAAGATGAAAATATCAGCATGAAAAGTAAAAAAATAGAATCAGAATGCAATGTCATATGTTATTATAATCATTATCATTAGTCCTAAAACTTATAGGACTATACCTATGAACCCTAATAAACAGCAGTATTACATGTAAAAATATAGAGTACATGTATTTAACATTAATTATGTTGTTGCATTATGCCAGGTCAACCGGCAGGTGACGGTAGTTGTTTCCTTACGGTAGCTGGTTGTTGACCAGCAATTTGATTTATACTGAAATGTATTTCCTGATTGTTGGAAGGCGCCATCTACAATGTATGAGACATCAGGAAACATACTTCGAATATTACTTGTTATTTATTTATCATTAGACCATTTCTACTTTTCCCTATTATATGCCAGTTGTATGACTTACTGCATGCTGGTAGTCCTAAAAAGACAATAAACACATAAATGTTTGCCATTTGTATTGTTGGATCATAAGGTATTCTCTCGTAAACATGTAAGAATACCTGTAACAGGTAACCGGAAGTAATGTTTACCAATTCGGCATATGGTAATAATAACGCACCACTACGTACCTAAATAATCATCATTTGGTTGAAGGATTTGTTTACGAAGGTAAATCCTGCAGAAACTGAATTTCATACCTATCTTTTTTCTAATCTTGTTATATAATGATAATAAATATTGATAACTGTTGGCACACCACTTGGTTTTTATACGCCCGTTTACGGGACGTATTATGGTATACCGTTGTCCGTCTGTCTGTCCGTCAGTCCGTCCGTCCGTCGTCAACATGTCAGACATTAACTCAAAAACGCTTTAACCAATTTGCATAAAACTTTGGTGAATTGTTTATATCTATTGACGTGAGCTCCCTTTCGTTTTTTATAAATTTTAGATTTTACGATTCTAAGTTATAGGGTTTTATTCATTAAAAAAAAGGGGGATTTTACAGTTTTCGGACAATAACTCAAGAATGCTTTCACCAACTTGCAAGAAATTGTGGTGAATTGTTTATATCTATTGACATGAGCTCCCTTTCGATTTATATATATTTTAGATTTTACATTTCCGAGTTACAGGGTTTTATTCATAAAAAAAGGGGGATTTTCCAGTTTTCTGACAAAAAATCAAAAATGCTTTCAGCAGTTCTTATGAAACTTTGGTGAATTGTTTATATCTATTGATGTAAGCTCCGTTTAGAATTTTATAAATTTTACATTTTATATTTCTGAGTTATGGGGTTTTATTCATTAAAAAAGTGGGGATTTTCCAGTTTTCGGACAATAACTCAAAAATGCTGTCAGCAATTCTCATGAAACTTTGGTGAATTGTTTATATCTATTGATGTAAGCTCCCTTTACATTTTCATAAATTTCTAATATGACATTGAGAATTAATTGAACTTTAATTGTTTATAGTCTGACAACAGATTTACTAAGTCTTGCGCAACAGCACAGTGTATTGCACAACAGCAAGAAATCTTTAATTGAATATAAATTCAATTCATATAACCAATTTCAAGTTCTTTGACTACATTTATTCAGAAACCTATAATATGTCAAATATTTAATACAATCCAAATTCAGACCTGTATCAAGCTTGAATATTGTGTCCATTTTTGCCCCAACTGTTCAGCGTTGGACCTCTGCGGGCGTATCCAACTGCGCTCAGCGAAGCAGTTTATTTATTAACCTTCGAATCCGTGCACGTTCCCGTACATTATCTATGTCACAGTACTGTAAGAACCGATTGTTGAATGATGCAGGGGCGGATCCAGCCATTTTTAAAAGGGGGTTTCAACCCAGGATAAAGGGGGGCATATGTCCCCATTCAAAAGCATTGATCGTAAAAAAAAAGGGGGTTCCAACCCCCGGAACCCGCCCCCCCCCCTGGATCCGCCACTGATGTGTCATTTACGCCAATTAAAGCTCGGGTCAATCGGTGTTACTCATTATTAAAAAAAACGTTAAAAAGATTGTGCAAGAAAATATAGATTCTACCACGCAACTTTAGCAGTGGGAAATCTAGTGTCGAAATATTACCCCCCTTGTAAACACTGAAAAATTGATCTTTTCATATTTTTCCCGTTTTAGCAAGTACGCTATTAATTTTAAATTCACAAGAAAACGTTCTGGTAAATAGTAACAATAAAAGTAAATTGAAATAAAAACAAAATTTCCATATAATGTTATCATTTCCCTCCTATTAAAATAGTAAACGACGAGTACAGCAGGTTATAGCTAGTCCCTGAGTGTAACGGGTATCGTGATTTCCTACTGTTTGGCTTCGTTGTCTCCCCAAGTTCTGGGATATTGGGCAAATTACGTCAATATAAACAAAATGTTTAGTTAAACATAAGCGGATCCAGGGGGAGGGGGGCCTGGGGGACCCGCCCCCCCCCCTTTTCGTGGGAAAAAATTGGTTGATTATATAGGGAATCACTGAAGCATGACTGTAGCGGGGCCCCCTCTTATGGCAGTCAGTGCCCCCCTCATAAAAAGTTCTAAAGTTTTGGATCCACCACTGTTAAAAGACATAATATAATGGCTACATGTTGGCATACGATAAATATTAAAGTACGGTGGCGGCTAGTCTACTTGTTTCTTTATTTAATGTTCCACTACTTGTTGCTTTATTTGATGTTCCATATCTGCAAGCCAAAGTATGAGCGTATGCTCATTTCAAATCTTTTAAGCGGTAGACTGCCCTGAACCGGCCCGGTGGGTGACGCCATATTTATAGTTCCTATGGATAACGAGCCCGGTCGGTTGTCACGCACTTGCAAGAAACAGGAAGTAACCCGACATGGTCGGTCTCAGAAGAAATAGTTACGGAACTATAAACAATACTAAGTTTTACCTGTCATATTGACTTATAATCTTCATCTTCTCGTATTCATGGACAGTAAATATCATCTTTATATCATAATAGTTATTATCATTTTCCATTAAACAGTTATGTTCCGCATTTACGTACACGTCAGGACCAATTAGTAAAAACAGGTAAACAAAGTGACCACCGTCACAGGCGAATTTAAAGTGTGCGCGTTTTATTGAAAGTAAGTGCGTTTTTGTCAGAAGTGAGCTCTGTGTAAAACGTGTTTAGCATGTTGCTATGCGAATAAATTCATAGAGTACAAACCTCAATTTATATTTTCTACTGGCCGTATACCTCTCTGGAACATAACTTTTTTAAATTAGTATCGTCACCGGCATTGTTTTACTGTTGATTTTGTCGACATTTTCATAAGAAGAGTTATTCACATACTAGTTAAAAAAAGTCGCAAATAATCTCTTTGATTCACTAGTTAAACCTATAGCTTTATACAATTCAGAAGTAACATGTTTGGGTACTTATAACATATTTTAGAGCCAAAAAGAGAGAAAATAATACAGGAAAACAATTGGACCCTTTTTATTGCATTGATAAAACACATTTAGAAAAGTTACATCTACAGTTTTGTAAATGTACATTTGGAATTAGTAAACTTCATCAAATTTAGCTGATTTTGGGAGACTTCCTCTGGAACTTTGGGAGACTTCCTCTGGAACTTAATATTAAATTTCAATCTATATTGTATCTAATTAGTTTATATTCTGATGACATTAACCTCTTGTGAAAGCATCCTTTTTTATGTCTCAAAACCTTGACTCTTTGTGAACTTATTCTTGGTTTTCATATGTTAAACATGTATTAGAAGAAACGGTAATGGATATAAACACATTGAAGAAAATATTCCTCTCATAAGATAACTAAAACTATAAGAGAACAAATAAAATTTAAATAGAAGTATTTTTATGAAAAAATAATAAATGATAGAATAACTGATATAAAGGTCAACAGCAAACTCACTATTTATAAATATGTAAAACAAGTTAATACAGAAGAAAATATTAAACTTGCTCACAATTTGAATTTAGAAAACTGATCACAAAATTTAGAATAAGTGACCACAATTTATTAATAGAAATTAAAGGATAGGTATCTTAAAATACCAAGAGAAGAAAGATTATTCAAAAACTGCCAAAAAAAGTTTGTTATTTTTAATGAGAACACGCATTTTATGGATTTAAATGATATAGATTAAATTACATATAATATCCTCAACCCAAGATCACACATTCAGGTAAATAAGCTCGATTCCTTTTTAAAACAATCTATAGAACTGAGATCAGGGAACTCGAAACATTTACTTTCATAATGTATATATATGATCTTGTTAATATTGTTTGTTTTCATTTTGTTATGTTGTGTCACATACTATGTTTTGTTGTGTATGACAATAAAGATTTGACTGAATTATTTGATTTGAATTGAATTTTGTTATTCTTGTCATCGATTTTGCCATTGCTCAGCACGCACGAAAAGAAGTTAAATCATTTGAGAATGACCATTAAACATATCCTTTCTATGCAAAAACAAGTTGTTTTCTTGTTTCAAGATATAAGGATGTAGTCAGTTCAGGTTAAGGAAATTTTGTAAGATGTTCGGACTCCTTGGTTTTTTTACCTACAATACAGGGTAAAATATTTTGCCTCATATCACCAATGTTTCTTTCCATAGAAGACTTCAATAGCTCATAAAAGGTCATTACCAAAATTTAAGCAGATTCTAGATTTCTTTTCTTACGATTTGAGACACAAATAATGCCAATGCTAAATATAAGGTAAAATTCCGGGTCAGCCTTTTTCCCATTTTTATGTTTAAAAACGCCCGTTTACGGGACGTATTATGGTATACTGTTGTCCGTCTGTCCGTCCGTCGTCAACATGTGATTGTCGGAAATTTACTCAAAAACGCTTTAACCAATTTGCATAAAACTTTGGTGAATTGTTTATATCTATTGACGTGAGCTCCCTTTTGTTTTTTATAAATTTTAGATTTTGCGTTTCCGAGTTATGGGGTTTTATTCATTAAAAAAGGGGGATTTTCCAGTTTCGGACAATAACTCAAGAATGCTTTCACCAACTTGCAAGAAATTGTGGTGAATTGTTTATATCTATTGACATGAGCTCCCTTTCGATTTTTATATATTTTAGATTTTACGTTTCCGAGTTACAAGGTTTTATTCATAAAAAAGGGGGGATTTTCCAGTTTTTGGACAAAAAATCAAAAATGCTTTCAGCAGTTCTTATGAAACTTTGGTGAATTGTTTATATCTATTGATGTAAGCTCCGTTTAGAATTTTATAAATTTTACATTTAACATTTCTGAGTTATGAGGTTTTATTCATTAAAAAAGTGGGGATTTTCCAGTTTTCGGACAATAACTCAAAACTGCTGTCAGCAATTCTCATGAAACTTTGGTGAATTGTTTATATCTATTGATGTAAGCTCCCTTTACATTTTCATAAATTTCTAATATGACATTGAGAATTAATTGAACTTTAATTGTTTATAGTCTGACAACAGATTTACTAAGTATTGCGCAACAGCACAGTGTATTGCACAACAGCAAGAAATCTTTAATTGAATATAAATTCAATTAATATAACCAATTTCAAGTTCTTTGACTACATTTATTTAGAAACCTATAATATGTCAAATATTTAATGCAATCCAAATTCAGACCTGTATCAAGCTTGAATATTGTGTCCATTTTTGCCCCAACTGTTCAGGGTTGGACCTCTGCGGGCGTATCCAGCTGCGCTCAGCGAAGCAGTTTATTAGCTTATATTGTTCCTTAACTAATGCTCTTCTGATTTATAATATCAATTTTAAATTCCAGATTTTTTATACGACCGCAAAAAAAATTTTGTGGTCGTATATTGGTATGACGTTGGCGTCGTCGTCGTCGTCGTCCGAAGACACATTGGTTTTCGCACTCTAATTTTAGTTTAAGTAAATGGATCTATGAAATTTTACCATCAGGTTCAATACCACAAAAGAAAGGTTGGGATTGAGTTTGGGGGTTACGGTACCAACAGTTAAGGAATTAGGGCCCAAAAGGGGCCAAAAATAAGCATTTTTGTAACTTCCAGACATAACTTGTGTGTTAGTGTATGGATCTCTCTGACATTGTACCACAAGGTTCCATATCACAAAGGGAATGCTGGGATTGATTTTGGGGGTAATTGCCTCAAAATTTTAGGAATTAGGGGCCAAAAAAGGGGGAAAACAAGCATTTTTCTAGTTTCAGGACAATAACTTGTGTGTAAGTGTATGGATCTTTCTGAAATTGTACTACAAGGTACCATACTACAAAGGGAAGGCTGGGATTGATTTTGGGGGTAATTGCCTCAAAATTTTAGGAATTAGGGGCCAAAAAGGGGCCTAAAAACAAGCATTTTTCTAGTTTCCAGACAATAACTTGTGTTCAAGTGTATCGATCTCTCTGAAATTGTACTGCAAGGTACCATACCACAAAGGGAAGGCTGGGGTTGAGTTTGGGGGTGATGAATCATAAGGGGGTTCAAAAAATTTGGGGAGGGATTTTTTTTCCCTTTTTTTCCTTTTTTTTTCTTTAAAATTTTCCATTTTTAAATTGGTTATTTCTGATTTATATATAAGGGGCCAAAAATAAGCATTTTTGTAACTTCCAGACATAACTTGTGTGTTAGTGTATGGATCTCTCTGACATTGTACCACAAGGTTCCATATCACAAAGGGAATGCTGGGATTGATTTTGGGGGTAATTGCCTCAAAATATTAGGAATTAGGGGCCAAAAAAGGGGAAAAAACAAGCATTTTTCTAGTTTCAGGACAATAACTTGTGTGTAAGTGTATGGATCTTTCTGAAATTGTACTACAAGGTACCATACTACAAAGAGAAGGCTGGGATTGATTTTGGGGGTAATTGCCACAAAAATTTAGGAATTAGGGGCCAAAAAGGGGCAAAAAACAAGCATTTTTCTAATTTCAGGACAATAACTTGTGTGTAAGTGTATGGATCTTTATGAAATTGTACTACAAGGTTCCATATCACAATGGGAAAGTGGGGTTTGAGTTTGGGGGTATATGCCCTTAACGTTTAGGAATTAGGGGCCAAAAAGGGGCCTAAAAACAAGCATTTTTCTAGTTTCCAGACAATAACTTGTGTTCAAGTGTATGGATCTCTCTGAAATTGTACTGCAAGGTACCATACCACAAAGGGAAGGCTGGGATTGAGTTTGGGGGTGATGAATCATAAGGGGGTTCAAAAAATTTGGGGAGGGATTTTTTTTCCCTTTTTTTCCTTTTTTTTTCTTTAAAATTTTCCATTTTTAAATTGGTTATTTCTGATTTATATATAAAAGCAAATAATAATGATATGGTTTGAATAGGTAAATTTACAACTTTTAAGTTCTTAAACCACATTCATTCTGTGTCAGAAACCTATGCTGTGTCAAATATTTAATCACAATCCAAATTCAGTGCTGTATCAAGCTTGAATGTTGTGTCCATACTTGCCCCAACTGTTCAGGGTTCGACCTCTGCGGTCGTATCAAGCTGCGCCCAGCGGAGCTTTTTATTGAATTTCATCTGACTACATCCTTAACTGGGACTATTATATTATGTCCCAGATTCCTAAGCAACTACTCAAAATTCTACGTTAACGGCGTGACTTTTTATACCCAGATTTATTAATACTTGAATAACTTGAATTATGGTTTTGTTTTTCAATTGATCTGCTTCAAAACTGGATTATGTTCAAGGAATAGACTGTATTTTTTATCAAACGAAAAGATCTGAATTGCTAGATGAAAATTAAAAAAAAAATATATATATATATATAATGTATCATGTATATAAACTTCTTTAAACACGACAATTTATCATATACACGTGTAATTTAACAAAATCAATAAAACTGATATCTATGATGAGTTTATTTGCTCTTAAATGACAATTTTTACCCCATGGCAAAAACTATAGGAAATAGAGAGAAGCTGTAAACAGAAATAATTATCAGCAATACAAGATCAACAAAAAAGAGATTTTAGTCAGGAATTATATTCTATTTTAATTGGACTATCAAAATTCAAAACAGGCTTTGTATTTGAATGTCGATTTAGGACTTCTAACTTCCTCGTTCAGGTCCGACTTTCCCTATGTGACAGCCCATGTATATAAATCTTTAAAATCTTAATGACCGTCAAATTATAAATACTATTATAAAACATATAAGTTTCTATTATGTCAATTTTCACTGATTATTGCAATCAGCAACAATCGACAGAATAGAAACTTAGCTTAAAGGGGCATAAGCTGCCAAAATTATGCCTCTCGAATTTAAACAAATTAATAACGTATTCAGAAAAACACATGTTCCATAGAAAACAATATACACAACCTTTATAAGATTGTTTTTTTAACATTTTTAGCTGATTTTCGTTTCAATCACTGGACATGCTTATCACAATGGCATGCGCAACCCATCTCAAAGGAAGGTTACAATCGAAGGTCGCTTAAATATGGATTCAAATGGGCTTGAATTAATGACTTCACGGTAGGTTGTCCGGCTTGAAACGTGTTTTTACATGAATTGGTCGTGTTTTTTAAGTGCGAACGAGTTTTTGTCTCGCCTTGACGGGGTCAAAAAAGCGAGACTTAGGTATGCTGTTTCTGACGGCGGCATAGGGAACCACTAATGGAAGGTCAACTTCAGTTGAACTTTGTGGATAGTTGTCTCATTGGCAATCATACCACATCTCCTTATTTTTAAATACGTTTGTGATTTGGTCAGTTTTAACTGAACCACTAGTGGTAGGTCACTGATATTTGGTATACAGTTGTATTAGCCGTGGCACATCTCATTTCCATGGAGATTATTTTGCCACGCCCCTCAGTCATGGTCTATTGACTTTGAAACTTTTGCTTTCTTATCATGGATAGGTTTGTGATTAGGTCAGTTTAAGAAGATCCACTAATGTTAAGTCAATCAATGTTAGTATTAGCATTGCTAGTCTTCTTTTACATGGAGATTATTTGGCCCCACCCCTATCCAGGTTCAGTGACGGTGAAACTTTTACATTGTTTATAAGTTAAAGTTTGTGTTTAAGTAGTGTTTAGGAAACCATTTATGATAAGTCAATGGTATTTGGTATGCCATTTTATAATCATTGCCATTTCTCATTTCCATGGAGATTATTTGGTACTGCACATTAAGTCATGGTTCATTGACTTTGAATGTTTTGCATAGTTTATATGTTTAAATATTGCCATTTGGATTCAATATTTGCAGAACACTATCAAAATTACAAAAGGTGAGACATATCTCTGTGTCAATAGTTTATTTTCGTGTTGAATTTCGAATCTTGCGTGAAACCGAAACTTATAAAAATAAAAGGTATTTTAGTGTGTGTGATAAAAAGTTATTATGAATCACATATTATTTGAAGTTATACTATACAAAAATAAGTAGAGTGGATTTTCTGCCATTTCTAGTGGTTGCAAAATTATACTGTTTAAAGTTATTTTAAATATCTTTTGCAGACGATTTAGTGTATTAGTCTAGTAGTAGGTGATTTGTTTGCAATCTACCTGTGATTAGGTCTTTTTTCCGGTCTCACTAATTAGCGACAAGAAGAATTTTAGCGACAAGAAGCGTCAAGAAGCGACAAGAAGAATAATTTTAGCGACAAGAAGCGACAAGAAGACTATTTAGCGACAAGAAAACATTTTTTTTATTAAAATTACTAATTCCAAATAAATGTTGAAAGAATATGCAAAAGAAAACAATTTTAGCGACAAGAAAGTTAATATTCTATCAATAAATAGACTAGAAAAAAATTTAAAACATAGATCTAATTGCTACATTTATTTGTGATATTTTATAATATATTATGTATAACAGCAATTACGTTTACCCTGTCGTATTGTGATATTAATTTTACTTGTGTTTTAGAACAATAATATATTTATCTTATAATTTGTTTTTAATACTCTCTTTGTACACTATATAATAAACTTGCAAAATGCATTATTTGTGCATCATTGTCCAGAAAATACAGACACAAATTGTGAAATACAAAGAACTGAAATCAAACAAGATGAAAACATAAAACTACACTATCCCTTTCTTCCTCACAAATGTTTAATTTCTTCATCTATCAATATAATAAAAAAAAATATCAATTTATTCCTGCCCATATATTAAAAAAAAATCAAATGCATATTTTTAATATTTATTTGGAATAAGTAATCTTAATAAAAAAAAATGTTTTCTTGTCGCTAAATAGTCTTCTTGTCGCTTCTTGTCGCTAAAATTATTCTTCTTGTCGCTTCTTGTCGCTTCTTGACGCTTCTTGTCGCTTCTTGTCGCTTCTTCATGCTTCTTATCGCTAATTAGTGAGACCCCTTTTTTCATTGGTCATTGGTGGTCATATGATTAATTAGGCAGAGGGAAATTTTGGTCTTTGTTTACAAAAGTTTTAATAGTTTAATTATTTAATATCAAGTCTTTGTGTTTACTTTTTGAATAAGAATTGAATCATAATCAGTTATGTTGGATATATGTATATTCAGTCAGGAACCAAACACATGTAGCGTATTTTGGTAAGTTACATTTACTTCATTGAGAGTATTTGGTTTGGTGTACGAAGTAGGAATCCTGATTTTGTTATTTTGATAATATGCAAGGTAATTTAAGTAAGTTTCCCCAATGCCATATTAGTTTGAGAGATGAATATATGATTTGATTGTTTTAAGAGGTATATTATGTATTTGCAGTGGGATATCTAGTTTCTAATTTTACCATGGCCCTGCAAAACACTGAAAACGTGCATGTTCGTTAATTTTTAATGTTTGTTCCGTTTAACAAAGACGCTATTGATTGCAAATTTACCAGAAAACGTTCTGGTAAATAGTTATAATAAAATAAAATGAATAAACAAAATTTCTATATGGTGTTATCAGTTCCCTCCCTCCTAAAATAGCAAACGACGAGTACGGCAAGCTACAGGAGCTTTGTGTAAAATTGGTTTAAAATGTTGCTATGCTATCCTGGAGGACCAACCTCATGTTTTTCTGCTGGCTGTTTACCTCTCTGGAATATGCATTGATGCAGTCAGATAAAAAGTTCAGGAAAAAATACCAAAAGAATCGATTGATATGCAGCAAAGACTTAACACTTTTGAAATTAAGTTACTAAGCAAATTCAAACGGACCATATCCCTATGTAAATAGTGAGTGCGAATACATCGAGACGACCACAAATAGATGTACAGAAATGGAGACAACATATTTTTAAAACTGTAAAATTAACAAATTACTAAAAATCTTCGGATAACCTACTTTGTAAAAATATTCATCTTTAATATTTTTAACATGCACAGACATAACTTTTAAATC